TTCTTTATATAATGACTGCCTTAGCCACTGTTCTATTGCTGAAGAGACACCATGACCAAGGCAAATCTTACAAAAGGCTTGTTCACAGTTTCCAAAGCTTAGTTCATATCAGCATGGCAGAGAACATGGTGACAGGTAGATATGGTGCTGAGAGCTACCAGAATCCATAAGCAGAGAGAGAGAGAGAGAGAGAGAGAGAGAGAGAGAGAGAGAGAGAGAGAGAGACAGAGACTAGGCCTGGCATGCCCACCTCCAGTGATACAGTTCCTCCAACAAGGCCACACGTACTCCGACAAAGCCACACGTCCTAATCCTTCTCAAACAGTGCCACTCCCTGATAACTGACATTCAAATGCATGAGCCTATGGGAGCCATTCGTATTCAAACCACCACAGTGAATAACTGCTTTGCATGTCTTCAATAAAAGAGTTGATATATTATATATAAGTTTGATTGCTAATAGTCTCCGCCTATCCACTGCCTCTCCTTTTGAATCAGGGTCTCACTCTGAGACTCGGGATAGCCTTGAACTCACAATCTTCCTGCCTCAGCCTACCACATGCTGAGATAACAGGCGTGTACCAGCACACCTGGCATACTACTAGCTTCTAACAAGATAACAATTCACAGTGTTTCACATATTTATTTCTTTCCATGTATAAATGAAGAGTCTGTATAGAATATATAAGCAGTTCTCTACATTTAGAGTGCAGACGTTAAAGTCAAAGTGTTGTAGAAAGGACCATGAGACCAGGCCAGGGAGAGCATGAGGTAAAGAATCTTCCAAATACGGAAGCACGTTGATTTTGCTGTACAGACATTTACAGTGATAATGCAACACAATGGTGGATCAACTCTTGCCTTCTGTGCACTCAAAACCATCACTCCCCTGGTAGACAAGTTCAAGGCCACTCAGGTTAAAAAGAATCTCAGTTGCACCGCAGGATACTCTTGCTGTGACACTAAATATTGTTTATTTTAAAGTCTCAGCCCTTCAGTGTGTACATATGGTCAGGCACACATAAGCATTTCTGAATACCCGAGTATAATGGTGTTTCAGAAAAACTGGCTGCTCAAATCAAAGCATTTATGAAAATGAACAAACCGTGAGTCAAGTAATATTTTTTCCTCCCTTTCTTTTCATGGAATACCCTTTAAACTCTTTTAGAAATTAAAAATTTTTTTGATACTGGGTCTTGCAATATACTCTGGACTAGCCTTCAATTCTTGATCTTACTGTCCCAGTCTCCAATGCTCAGATTACAGAAAAGTGTGACTTTGACTGATTTTCTTTATTTATTTTGGGTTTTTCAAGTCAGGGTTTCTCTGTGTAATAGCTCTGGCTGTCCTAGAACTTGCTTTGTAGACCAGGTTGACCATGAACTCACAGAGCTTCACCTGCCTCTGCCTTCCAAGGGCTGTGCCACCACTACCTGGCTATCACCAATCTGTCTGTCTGTCTGTCTATCTATCTATCTACTATCTATTTATCCATCCATCCATCCATCCATCCATTTATCTATCCTATTTTCATATATACTGTTTTTAATGACAAACAGATCAGAATTATTCTGCTTGCCCAATTAATGCAATGCTCTGGGTTCAGTTCACAACACTCCAAAACAAAACATTCCAGGTTACTTTGACAGAACACTAGCAGGTGTGTAAGGTGGCTCATATTTGTCATCTCAGCAACTGGGAGGCTGATACAAGAGGATCTGAATTCAAGGCTAGCATGGGCTTTAGACAGCAAGATCCTGTCTAGAAAAAAACAAAACAAAACAAAAACCAGAAAAGTAAAAAAGTGAGACTGTCACTTCAAAGAAAAATATGAAAATATATATCACTAATAAAATTCCAGCTTTCAGCCAGGCGGTGGTGGCACACACCTTTAATCCCAGTACTCTGGAGGCAGAGGCAGGCGGATCTCTGTGAGTTCGAGGCCAGCCTGGTCTACAAGAGCTAGTTCCAGGAAAGGCTCCAAAGCTACAGAAAAACCCTGTCTCCAAAAACCAAAATCAATCAATCAATCAATCAATCAATCAATCTAGCTTTCAAATGAAAACTAGAATCCTGTCCACTACATTAACACCTGAAGAGTTCTAACAAAATGGATGATAACATTGAGGAATGTGATCATTTGATAGTCTGTAACAAAATACTCCAACATCAGAACTACATAACACAGCCATTAATTTCCAAATGAACTGTGATTGATGCTACAAAGTCAGGCGGAGTGCACACTCTCCATTTAAAATGTAAGGTGCGCTGAGCGGATTTCAGTGTAGCAGAGTGAGAAGAACTCTACAACCCACCCTTTAAAAACCACCATCTGGTGCTCCAATGTGGGTCTCTGTCTCCTTTCATCACCTGATGAAGGTTAATATCCAGGAGGATGCCTATATGTTTTTCTTTGGGTTCTCCTTATTTAGTTTCTCTCGGCTCACTAATTAAGGTTCAATGTCCTTTGTTTATGGCTAGAAACCAAATATGAGTGAGTACATCCCCTGTTCCTCTTTTTGGGTCTGGCTTACCTCACTCAGGATAGTGTTTTCTATTTCCATCCATTTGCATGCAAAATTCAAGAAGTCCTTGTTTTTTACTGCTGAGTAGTACTCTAATATGTATATATTCCATACTTTCTTCATCGATTCACCGGACTGAAATCTCAAGGTCCAAATCAGGAGCAGAAGGAGAGAGAGCACGAGCAAGGAACTCAGGACCACGAGGGGCGCACCCACACACTGAGAACATGGGGATGTTCTATCGGGAACGCACCAAGGCCAGCTGGCCTGGGTCTGAAAAAGCCTGGGATAAAACCGGACTCGCTGAACAGAGCGGACAATGAGGACTACTGAGAACTCAAGATCAATGGCAATGGGTTTTTGATCCTACTGCACATACTGGCTTTGTGGGAGCCTAGGCAGTTTGGATGCTCACCTTACTAGACCTGGATGGAGGTGGGTGGTCCTTGGACTTCCACAGGGCAGGGAACCCTGGTAGCTCTATGGGCTGACGAGGGAGGGGGAATTGATTGGGGGAGGGGGAGGGAAATGGGAAGCGGTGGTGGGGAAGAGACAGAAATCTTTAATAAATAAATAAATTTTAAAAAATAAATAAAAAAAAATTATAAAATAAAAACCACCATCTGTCCCGCATTGGTGTGATAAGTCTGCCCATGCTTACCTAAAAAAGCTATTAGAATATTCTCTTTCCAACTACAAATGAGTATGATGTAACACTTTCCTTCTTAAATCAAAATAAAATAGAGAAACAGATTAAATGTAGGTTTATATTAATTTCATTAATTTATATTAATTAGGAATCAAGCTATTTTGTATTGTTACTTCGGTGCCCACTGACAGATGAATGGAAAAATATGCATGTAATACAAGTATTATTTGATAAATATATTAATCCTTTAAAACTGTTCCACTTTTCATTTTATATGGTTAACTATGGGTAGATATCATTGACAAAAACTAAATTAATGTTCCTAGGTTCTCAGCCATTTTTGAAAGGTAAAGGGGTCCCAATATTAAAAAGTTAGCGAAGAGAACTATCTGTCTTATAATGGAAATTTATTCTCTCTTCTTGCTTTTCTAAGTGAAGATCTTCATTTCCAGGTACAGCTTCATTTGACAGCTATACCACTTCCAGCCAGGAGATCAGAAACACAACAAATCCAGCCCAAAGAATGACCACAGTCATCACAGAACTCTACCACTATTGTCCCCAGGGTGCACAGCAGCTGCAAGGCCTAAGGAACACAAAAATCCACGCAGATGAGTGGCAAAGCACAATAGAAAACTAGGAAAAGCGGAAATGCTGACGGTTTAAAGTAGTTTAGTGCACCTCTATAAAAAATCACCAAGTTCTTTTTTTTTTTTTCTGTTGAAGTCTCACTTGAAATTTCAGTGTAGGGCAGATTTGACAGTGGAAGAAGTGGAGGCATTGTTCCGAAAACCGGTATATCCGTGCGAAGAATTTAATTCCCTCACCATTTTGCTACTGGTCTGTAGCAAAGGGGTGTGGTTAGAGCTGCGCTAGGAAGCATGTCAAAGCTGCAGCCTAGGCTGCCCCAAACGGTGTCCAAGCAACAATTCTGGGCCATGTCAATTTGCCAGGGTAAGAGGCCGAATGTTTTATGGTAAGGAAGAAAATAAAAATGAAGTTAGAAAGCAAGGACGGAAACAAGTATCAAAATCACAACGGTCCCGGGTGCATATTAAACGCCCAGAACGCTAACATATACAAGAGGTGCGTATGGAAACGGTTTATTCCCGAATCCACAGCTGCGGCACTTTCTCACGTCTGCAGTTCGGAAGGGAACGTGTCGCGCTGTCTCTTGGTATTTATTTTGGGTTGGGTCTGTGAACCACCATTCTCACAGACTGCGGCTGAAGCAATCCCAAACAAAGGGGAAAGGATGGCCTCCTGAGGGAGGCGGGGAGGGAAAGGGGGTCTCAGGTTGCCGTGCCAGGTGTCCCCACGGGGTCCATCAAGCAGGCAGCGGGAAGGGACAGTCCTAGGAGCATCGCAGGGGTGCGGCAGGGCTGCACCAGGCCCCAAAGCATTCGAGGACAGACGACCCCACCCTGCCCACGGTCAAGGTTAACCCGCCCACTAGAGTACCTGTGGAGGCCTCGCACAGCCGAAAGGCACAGGGTGATCATGGGCACGCCGGGGGGCCGGCAGCAGCGGGCGCGTAGTCCTCCGGTCTGTGGTTGCGGGAGGCGGGCGGTGGAGTCTACGGGGCCCGGGAGCCGAGAGTGGGCCTAGCCGCGGAGACCAGAGCTCAAGACGCCGCGGCCAGCCCTGCCAGCGCCCTCCCACGTGCTGCAGCCCCACGCCTGCGCCCGCGGCCCCGCCCCTCGGCCCGCCCCGCATCCGGCTCCGCCCCCGGACCGGGCCCGCCTCTCGCTCCGCCTCTCTCCCTGTCCCGCCCCCACCCCCACCCGCTTCGTGCCCTGCTCCGCCCCAGGGGCGGATCCAGCAGGACCCAGCGTCGGAGAGCCTAGCGAGCAGCCGGGTGGGCTGAGGGGGCGGCGGCGGTGTAGGAGCCGGGGAAGTTTGGGAGACGCGGCCAGTTCTGCCATCCAGAGCGCCGCTCAAGCCCCGAGGACCGCGGGGGCAAGTCGCCCCGCTTCCCGACGACCCCGGACCTGCAGCCGTCGTCTCGTGTCCTTTTGCCTGGTAAGGGGCTTCTATCTGGAAAGGGTGCGTCTCCTGCAGCCCCAGATGGAGGCCTGCACCGCGCACCCCGTGCAAACCCGGTCTGGGCTGAAGCAAAGCCGGGGTGCAGCGGGGAGAGAACCATGGAGTGGGAGATGGATGTGATTGGAGATGTAGGAGAGGAAGCTTGGAGAAGGTTGGACAGCTCCCCCAGCCCCCCATTCTGTTTTCCCCTTCTGCCCCCCCCTTCTGCCCCCGGGCCTTAGTCAGAACGTGTAATAACCTCTCTGGCCTAGAGACTGGGCTTGGCTTTAAAAGAAGTACAAAGCCAATAAACATCCTAGCGGCCGGTACCACACCCTGGCTGTGAATTAGGGATCCCTGGGAGCAGATTGCTGATGCGATTTAGTGGAAATAAGCCATTAATGCCGCCTGGCCCTGCGCCACTGTTTGGATGCATAGTATTCCATGTGAATGAACGGGGCCAGGAGCTTCCAGCTTGTCCACGAGAGCACAGCGACTGCAAGCAGGGCAGGTCGGTTTGTAGTATCTGTCGGTTTAGACGGTGATTTCTGAGCAGTGTGTTGATTAAATAGGAACGCCGTTTATTAACAATACCACTCAGTGGTTGAACAACCTTTCCACAGAGCCCGATCATCAGCAAATAACCTACAAAAGTAGTGGAGTGTAAATTATTGATACATTATAAAAAGAAACATCTCTTGGAATAAAGGAAGATGCTCATTGTGTCTCGTCTTCTGAGTCAGCAGTACTAAATCTCCCTCAATTAAAAGTGAGGCCTTTCAAGGATGGTTCTCCCTGGGTCTGCACTCCTCACTCCTATACTTTCTTGTATCTGTATCATAGACATTGTTAAGACAGAGTGAGTTCTAAGCTTTGCTACACTTGTTTTGAAAACATGTCTTTTCACCGAGGCAAGCCTCAACACTGTTTAAAAGTGCTGGGTTTGAATGAGCGTGTGGAATACATTACTGTAACAACTTTTGCTTTCTTGACACTTTAAAGAGAGAAGAGAGAAAGGTAATGAATATTTTTATTTTTAATGCTTTTAACATAGCATATGACCGTTGATATTTTCTTTGTCTTTTTTCAGCAAGGAGGTATTTAAGGGTCTAAAATGTCATCGGTCAAGCCTCTAGTTTATGCAGTTATTCGTTTCTTGCGGGAACAAAGTCAGATGGATGCATATACTTCTGATGAACAAGAAAGTTTGGAAGGTAGGTACCAGTTCTTTGTGTTCGTGTTGTAATTATAAAGAAAGATTAAAATAGCCAAGTTTATGATTTTTAATAACAAAATCAGAATATTTTGTTGAGAGACTTAACTAGATGTGTTATTTCCATTTTCCGAGACTTGTTTTAACTAATAAAAATAGGACTGTTGCTTGTTTACTGAAAAATTACTGTCAGAAGCATTCCATTAATATTCTAGGGACATTTTTCTTCAGGGGAACTAGGTTAACATTGTTCCCACTTAACGGGATGAGGAAATGAGATCAGATGATTTAAGTAACAGAACAGTTACTATGTAACAAAGCTGAGGTTTAAATCCCAGTTCATAGTTCAAAGATTGTTTCCCCCTCATTTTTCTAATAAGCAGAGGATCTCCTTCAGAAGAACACTTGAAAATACCTTAGTCATTGCTATAGCACTGTGAAAGAAATCTAAGTAATTATACCATGTTAGAGCGCTAGCAAATGCTACTTTGGGAAATGAGAGGATTTTGCCCCTGTTTTATGTGAGCTTTCAATCTTGGATTCAGCAGTCTGTGAATCTGATCGGGTTTGGAGAAGCACATGTATTTCCTTGATACCATCTTTGTGCTTCATGTTTATGCATTATGAAATGTAAATTCCGTATAGCTATAAGAAGATAGAATGATGCAGACCAATTGCCTGGTGAAAGTTCAGTAAGCCTATGCGAGGACTTAATTGTTGCAATGAGAGCTCATTGGGGGAGAGCTTAATAAACAGCAGCGCCGTTTGAATTTCCCGTCTCCGAGCTGCTCTTCCTGGAGAGGGGACTCGCCTATTAATTCTGAGTACTTTCTTTGTAGATTTGCTTTAAATAGGTGCAAATCAAAGTTGGGCATTTGTTCTAACTCGTCTGGTGAAATGAAGTCTTTCCAGGTGGCAGTGAGAGGAGCAGGTGAGGCACAGTGGGAGAACTTAGCAATTAGCCCGTTTAATACTAAGGACTTTGTGTCCTCCCTGACGGTCAGACTGTGTGAAGATGAAGGTAGTTTGGCTGTCAGAGGAAAGTCTTGGCTGTCGTTGCTCTGTGGCAACAGAGGAAGGCAATCATGTAACAAGAGATATATTTTTTTTTCTAATCTAAGGCGGTATGGTGTTTTTATGAAGCAGAAAGAGAATCGAGAGTATTTTAAAAACCAAGATGTTGTGCCCTATTTTTAGAATGGCATTCAGCCAAAAATATGTGCCTTCAGCTGTTTGTTATATATGGAGTCAGAAATGGTGCCAATTGTTTGTGACTGACCCCTATTTTTGACTCTGTGAGTCTAATTTAATTGAGCACGAAGTCATGTGGAGGTGTCTGCCCACCTTCTAGACATTTAGAAACGCCTCGGGAAAGGCTCTGCCGTTCTAGCTCCAGATTTACCACTGTCGTGGAGCTGTGTTTCATCAGCTTTGAGGTTTGTTACCAGATTATGTCATCCCCTCCTCCTAATCGTTGTCATCTCTGACATCTGCTTCACTTTTGATTGTTGTTCCAGCACGCTGTCACCCTTGCAAGCTCTGCTCCTGTCTTAGCTCTTTCTGCTCCTGAAAAGCTCCAGGACGATCCTTGCAGTTCTCTCCCACTGGGCTCTTGCGCTTTTCTCCTCCCCCTGATCTCAGCCACTTCACTATACACTAGGTCAGTGTTTCTGAACTGAGGGTCATTTTGCAAAGTCTGGAGACATTTTTGAGTGTTACGACCTTTGGGGAGGCTGGTATTACTGGCATCTCGTGGGAAGAAGCCATCGATGAAGCTAAACACTCAACACTGCACGAGACAGGCCTTGATAACAGGGAATGATCTGATCTGAAGTGTCGGGTGATGAGATGCAGAGCCCTTTCCTAGACTGAATCTTTCCCAAATTGTGCTCCACCAGCAAGCTCTGTCTTAAGCATTTTACTTCCTGGCTTCTACTGTCTGTTTCTTGCACACTCCGTCTAATATCCATATCTCAACAATTCCTTCACCAACCCCTCCAATCTGTTGATCCCATACTTTTCCCTACCTCTTTCTTACTTGTTAACCCTGTGGCAGATCATTATGATATTTTCTTGTATTCTTTCTCCTATCCTGAAAAGCCAAACCTTAATTTTTTAAAAATATTTATTTATTTATTATGAATACAATATTCTGTTTGTTTGTATGCTAGCAGACAAGAAGAGGGCATCAGGCCCCATTACAGATGGTTGTGAGCCACCATGTGGTTGCTGGGAATTGAACTCAGGACCTTTGGAAGAGCAGGCAATGCTCTTAACCTCTGAGCCATCTCTCCAGCCCCCAAACCTTAATTTTTAATTTTCTACCTACTCAGTGTCTATATCCATTTAACTATAAATTAATGGACCAGAATGTACAGTTTTGCTGACTGACTATATTAATTCTTGACTGCAAACTTTTAGTGCTGCTGGGTGACCAGGGTATTTATTTGTTCCTCACTCATTCATCTACTTATTCATCCTTTCTATTATCCTAGATAGTCATTCTAATAATCTCATTCATCTTCTGAGATGCCAGACTTCCATTTCAGTCTTTACCCTTAGATGCTTCTCCCACTGTAAACAAACAAACAGAAAAAAAGAAATGATAAGAAAACAGCATCTACCAACTTCCACACTCCTTATATTCACTCACTGACAAGACCCACAGGCTTTGCTTATCTGCCTGACTATTACCGTAGGTGGTATTTCTTTCTCAGAGAAATCTCTCTACTGGCACATTTTGTCCCATCCCATCTCAGCAGCTAGGATTTTACTGTAGATTCTCTACCCTTTTGTCCTACATCTTCAAATTTTCATCTGCTGGATCATTTTCATCCAATCATAAATGTACCAATAGTTCCCCTTTCGTTATGAAAAAAAAACTCAGAAAAGAAAATTGAATAGGGCTGGAGAGATGACTCAGTGCTTAAGAATGCTCGCTGTACTTCTAGGGGATCTGGGTTAGCTCCCAGCCCATACTGAGCCGTTCACTCCCACCAAGAGCCCTAGTTTCAGGGAGATCTGAAACCCCCTTCTGGTCCCGGAGGGCATCCTGTTTACAATAGGTACACACACATACATACACATACACACAAGAGAAAATAAGAGAGTTAGCTCAGCAGTTTAGAGCACTGGTGTTCTTCCAGAGGACCTGAGTTCAATCCCGAGCACCCACACAGCGGCTCACAACTGTCTCTAGCTCTTTTGACCTGTGAAGGCACCATGTGCACATATGGTGCACTGTCAAGTATACATACAGCCTAAACTCCCAAATGCATACAATAAAAATAATATCCTAACATGGATATTCTTGTCATTGTACCCAGTCCCTCTTATCTGATTTTATTGTCTTCCTTTGCAACTAAACCGTTTGAAATTGTTATCTATACTTACTTTCTCCAATTCTTCTATTTCTTAATTTTAAGAATTTTCATCCTTTATCTCCATCCATTCTACTTTCACTAAGGGCAATAGTGTTTCTGTGTTTAGTCGAACAGTTCTTATTCTTTATCTGACTTAATTCCTTCCTTCGTCTCACGTACTTTACTCATCTCATAGTCCCGTGGTTAGTGTCTTGGCTCATTTTTTGCTTTTTCTCCCCATGGCTGAGTCCCTCTCCTGACCTGTCGTGTCTATAGTTGACCGCTTGGTTTTCTTCCTGTCACTCTCTTCACTCATTTTTCTGGTGAGAGAATTTAACTTATTTGCCTGAGGTGCCCTGAATTTATAGGCTGACAGTTCTTAGAACTGAAACCCCAGTCCAGATCTTTCTTCTAAACCCAGACTTCTATATCCAGCTTCCCACCACATAGCTCCACTTGCAAGTCTAGTAGGCATCTCAAAATTACCATTGCCAAAACTGAACTCACAGTCCTCCCACCCAAAGTCTGTTCTCTCCACTGCTTTCTTGTCTCAGAGAGAGCAGCTCCAGCACTCCTTTGCCTTAGCCAAGAACTTGGGCATTGTTCTAGGGTCTTATTTTTCTCATACTCTACATCTAACTGTTAATAAACCTTCTTGCCTTCAAAAATCAGCCTGTCTTTTTTTTTTTTAACCCAAGGTCTCTCATTGTATGCTCTGGCCAGAACTCACTCTATGGCTTAGGTTGGCTTCAAACTCATAGAGATCCACTTGCTTCTGCATCCTGAATGCTGGGATTAAAGGTGTGTGCCACCACCACACCAGGACTAAAAGTCTATACTTCCAAAATACATCTTGAGTCAGGGGTTAGGGAATATAATCCAGCCATAGAGGGGCCTTATGTGCCCCTCTGTGCACAAATCCCTAGTACTGCAAAAACCAACCAAACAAAACCATAAAATGAAATTTGAGTTTAACCACCTTTTACCACTTCCACTGGTATCTCCCCTGGTTGAAACTGCTTACTGCTTGTTCTACTATGATAACCCCTAAACTGGTCTTTCTTCACTGGTTCTGGCTCCTCAGATCATCCAAATTCGTCCTCTCTTAAGACTGTGGCAGATTCTGTTGCTCTCTATGCAGAATTTTGCCAGGACTCCTATTGTTTCTTCGTCATTGTATAAAGGATCTATATAATCTGGACATATTGTCCACCTACCATTTCTCATTTGGTTTCAGCCAAATTAGCTTCCTTAGTGAGGAGGCCCTTGATCCTTGTGCCTGCAGGCTTTTGCTCTGGCTATTTCCTTGGCCTGGAATAGCCTCCCATCATCTGTACCTGCTGTAATGATAACACTTCCATCTCCTCCAAGTCTGCCAGATTTGTTTTTCAAGGAGGCCTGCCCTGAACTCTAAGTTAAATCTGCAGTCTGCATCCGGCTCAGCTCCCGCTTCCCCTTTTCACCCCCCCACCCCGTCCTCCTTATTCTTATTTATAGTCCTCTTCTCGTCCTCTGTTCCAAGAGGTTAAGGTTCTATTCTGTTTGATTCACTGGGATAGCAAGCTTCGAGAAAGGGGCCTGGCATGTGATAGGTGCTCCGTATGCATTTGTTGAATTGAATCCCATAATCCTGGGCTTGGACTTCTCTGGTCTTTATCTTGGTTTCTAAGTCTATTGGGCAAAATACATCAACCCCTCCCCATCAAATGTTCCTGAAGAGAATCTATACCTGTCTGTTTGCCTCTGAAGTTCCATGGCCTGATTCGTGGTTAATGGCTTGTTTTTGTCCTCTTGATCTATTTCTGTGTTTGTGAACTTAGGTTTAAGTTTTGCTGTTTCAGTTTTGTTTCTTTTTCTTTTTTTTTTTTTTTGGTTTTTCGAGACAGGGTTTCTCTGTGGTTTTGGAGCCTGCCCTGGAACTAGCTCTTGTAGACCAGGCTGGCCTCGAACTCACAGAGATCCGCCTGCCTCTGCCTCCCGAGTGCTGGGATTAAAGGCGTGCGCCACCACCGCCTGGCTGCTGTTTCAGTTTTGGTAACCGGATGATGGTCAGAAGAAACACTGTCTGCCCTAGATCTGATAATTTTAAATTTCCTTGGAAATTAAAATATGATTTTTACTGAAGACAAGGAAACCAACAGATTCCAATTGTTGACCATTGGAATTGTTGACTTGCCAGACTCTGTTAAAGTCAGAGAGGAGTAAGATAGGCCTTGTCTTCAAGGAGATGGTCTAACATGAGATACCTGCATGCCAGGGCGTAAGACATAGAGCAATCTCTCTGGTAACGGAACCCTACAAAGCAGATGGCACAGTAGAGAATGCCATTCTGATCCAGGATGGAGGCTGCAAGAGTAAACAAATGCAAAGGCATACATCTTTATTATTGTAACTATGTGTCATGGCACCGAGAACAAATTTACTTGCAGTCCAATATTTTAAATGCATCTTCATCTGCTTGGGAGAAATAACAAAGGAGAAAGCCACATTCTTATAGTTCTATCTACTGAGGAGGTGAAGGTATCAAAACACAGAAAGGAAAAGGCGATAGTCTAGGTAAATAGAGTATTTTCTCCCCAAGAGATATTTTGCTTCGTATTGCTTAAAACTTGGTGCTTTCTTCAGGCCCTCTCTAAGGAGAGCTTTTCTGTGACTGCCTAAAGTAATAGTATTTATGACCAGCTCCTTTCTCAAGACCACAATTAAAATATAAAGGAGCTTTTACAAGTCTTTTAACATGTGGATGAATCTATTTAGTAGTGTGGGAAGGACAGGGGTTATTTTGGCCACTTGCTTAGTTTCTTTCCCAGCTGGAGCGCGATCAGAGGAAGAACCACTCTTGGCCCCTCAAGGGTCCTCGCAGAGAGGACAGAATACATCTCCTGACTGCCCCTGCCCTGGGCTGCTCAGCTGTGTGTATCCTTTGAGAGGGAGCCCACCTGGTTTTCTGTTTCTCTCTCTAGCCCGTCCTCAGCCTTCCTACCAGTCTTTTAGCTCTAAACAGTCATTTTCCTTCACTAAATCCTTGAAAGCCCTCTGTTTGCCAGTTGCACCGAGTCCCACTCTTTAAAAATGTCATTGAGGCTGCCTTGTGATCTGTTAAGTCTCTGATTCTTACATAATCTCCCTTCGTGTCTTTGCATCAGTCTGTACCTTGTCCCCTTGCTGTACCAACCAGTTATTTTGTCCTCCACCAAAAATAGATGAGGCAACTGTCATCATTTCGCAGGCTATATATTTTGCTTTATAATATGGACAGTGATTTGTTTGTCCTGTTATGTTTATTGCTGTTCTTCTAGCACCTTGGAGCGGAACTTTACACATAGTAGGCACATAATAAATTTGCTTACATGCATGAATATTTTAAAGCAGATCTATTTTTATGTTACTATGCCAGGATTAATATTTAGTCCCTGCTTTGGGCCAGGTATTATGTTTCTTTTACTAATTTTCATCAAGTTGAAAATCTTGTTTTTCATATATAAAAGATATATAACACTTTAAGTTTGTTTAATGCACTGGTGGTTAATTAGGTATTAGTATTGGAATGTAAGGTGTTAATGATATGCTCTTCTTTCTGGTAGCCTTCAGCAAGAATATGATTTACTATGTATGTTCAGAAATTATATTCTAGCTAACACTTACTGTTTAGTGAGAAATAATAAGAGACCACTGTCTTTCTCTGATAGCTCGTCTATAAATAGAAATCTCTATGCAGCTGGACCAATTAGTTCTCCTCCTGTTCTTTGGCCATAAACACTGATTTACCATAGATTACATTCCTGTAAGGAAAAACAGAAGGTTCCTTTTTAAAGTTGCTAATCCCCCTGCCCTTGTTTTATTTCAAGTTGCAATTCAGTGCTTGGAGACAGTGTTTAAGATCAGTCCAGAAGATACACATCTAGCAGTTTCACAGCCTTTGACAGAGATGTTCACAAACTCCCTCTGTAAGGTATGTTGGCATTTTTTTTTCTTCTCAATAGTATTTGTTGCAAGTATGATCCAGTTTTATCTTGGCCTATTTTTTTTTCTTTTTGGTTTTTTTGAGACCGTGTTTCTCCATGTAGTCCTGACTGTCCTCGACTACCCTGGAACTCATTCTGTAGACCAGACTGGCCTCGAACTCAGAGGTCCGCCTGCCTCTGCCTCCCAAGTACTGGTATTAAAAGCATGCACCACCATCGCCCAGTTTATCATGGGCTTTTAAGCGTTGAGGGGATATGTCTACCAATAATCAGCTTCTTCCTGGCTATTATCTAGGAACGAAAATGTACCTCGCTTATCATACTTTAGATGTGCATGTTAGTCACTATTCTCACAGTCTCGCCTTGCCAACCTAGAAGTCTTTCATAGTTTATTTTTAAATCTCCAAGGTCTGTGGTGCTGGAGAGATTGCTGAGCAGTTACGAACACATCCTGCTAGTGCAAGAGACCGGGGTTACGTTCCTAGCACCCACTTTGGGTGCTGCCCTTCTAGTGCTGAAGTTATTTGCAGGATGCAGTGTTTGGGAGTGATGCCGGCTCAGGACGTGTTAACTTCAGCTTTGAGTGGATGGTGCTGATGGTACATGTAGCTGCTTTCCCCTACACTCTGTTTCTAGAACTGCTGGCAAGAGATTCTTAGAGAATTTGGTAGTTTTAGACTTAGAAGAGAATGATGCAGGTGCGGGCTAACTCGCCACACAGATGAACTCATATGACAGGATGAGAGGCGTTGCCTATCTCTGTTCTTCCTTTTTGTCTTCACATTAAGATGAACTGTTTGTCATTTCCACTGTGTCCAAGCTTGTTGCCTGCTGAGACACCCTGCTTCAGTTGCCAAATAAAACCATGACTGAAGCAGATCTTTATGCTCAGCTTCCCAAGGGCTATGCCTCAGACAGCACTTGAAATTCACTTGCTCTCAAGCTAGTGTCTCCACTGACTTAGTTCTGAAGTTCCACCACAGATTACCATGGTTACTGTCTCCCAGGAACATCCAGTTGACTTTTATACTCTCCTGGATAAAGCACTTCAGCTGGAACTCTCTTGTTGCACCTAACTGAGAGATTGGTTGTATACTCTTTAAACTGTGAATTGGTTGAGACTGACTCCCTGTGACATCTTCAGGATATTATTTGTGGTAGCATCATCCTTTAGTACCCAGGTCTACCCTTGGGACTTCATGCTCTACTCCTGTGATTCTACTGAGCATAGGAAGTCTAAAGTGTGTCCAAAGCAGCTTTGACATCATAATGGTCAGCACTGACATCATAATGATTAGTTGACATCATTGTGATTAGCATTGACATCATTTTGATTAGCATTGACATCATTATGGTTAGCATTAATACCATTGTGATTAGCATTGACATCATTGTGATGAAAGAGTTTGTCACATCAAATGTGGTTGAATGTGGTATTAGTCACTTTAATTTTACAATTTTGCTTTTTTTCTTCCTGTCTCCTACTTCAGTTTATACATATACAAAATGGACTCGATGCTTTTATTTAAGTATCTAACAGTTGCCAACACATTTAATTTTCAATGTAAAACTGTGATTTCATTTTTAAAAGTTAAGGAGTTGGAAAAGAAAATAAATTATAATCAATTTTCATTATGCATTTTTTCTGACCCAAATGATTCATTTTTTAAATTAATAAACCACATGGGTTTGTTGGGAGTTATGAAATGGAAAGCTAGAAGCAGATTCTGTAGAGCAATAGGCATGGTGTCTTGGAGTCAGAGTTAAGCCGTGACTGCTCTGGAATGCTCAACTTTGCTTCTGCGTCTTTTTATCAATCTATCATCTATGTATCTGTCTGTCTGTCTGTCTGTCTGTCTGTCTATCTATCTATCTATCTATCTATCATCTATCTATCTTCTAGCAATCATCTATCTATCTATCTATCTATCTATCTATCTATCTATCTTCTATCAATCTATCTATCATCTATCTATCTATCTATATCTATCATCTATCTATCTATCTTCTATCAATCATCTATCTATCTATCTATCTATCTTCTATCTATCTATCTATCTATCATCTAACAATCATCTATCTATTTATATCTATCATCTATCTATATCTATCAATCAATCTATCTATCAATCAATCTATCTATCTATCTATCTATCTATCATCTATCTATCATCTATCCTTTTTGGTTTTTTAATTTGTTTGTTTTGTTTTTCAAAACAAGGTTTCTCTGCATAACAGCCCTAGCTGTCTGGAACTAGCTCTTGTTAACCAGGTTGGCCTTGAACTCAGGGATCTGCCTGCCTCTGCCTCCCAAGTGCTGGGAATACAGGTGTGCGCCACCACCACCCAGCTCTGTGTCTTTTTAATTTAATATTTTATGTTTCATAGAGAAGGGTTTTTGTTTGTTTGGTGTTTTTATCTATTTGTGTATCTTTTTAGGTATGAGTGCTCTGTCTGCATGTGTGTCTGGATGTCAAAGGACCTCGGATCTCATTACAGATGGTTGTGAGCCACCGTGTAGTTGTGAGCCACCGTGTAATTATGAGCCACCGTGTAATTATGAGCCACCGTGTAATTGTGAGCCACCATGTAGTTGTGAGCCACCGTGTAGTTGTGAGCCACCATGCAGTTATGGGCCACCATGTAGTTGCTCAGGACCTCTGGAAGAGCAGCTGTGCTCTTAACCTCTGAGCCATCTCTCCAGTCCTGTTTGGTGTTTTTTGGTGTTGTTGTTGGTTTCTGTTGTTTGTTTTGTTTTGTTTTTCTGTTTAGCCCTGGCTGTCCTGGAACTCACTCTGTATACCTGGTTGGCCTCAAACCTAGAGATCTGCCTGCCTCTGCCTCCCGAGTACTCAGATCAAAAGCATGCTCCACCACTGCCCTTTTCTTTCCTTTTTTTTTTAAAGATGAAAGTCAAATTCTTTGTCAGTGATTTTGTACTTGTATTTGTCTCTAATTAGCAAAGTATATTTCCATGTTCAATTTATCACTTTTATTGAAATTTTAGTCCAGACAAAGGGTTACCTTGTATTTTAAATGTAGTTTGTTGGCATAAAAGGTACAAATTATTTTTTCAATATTGTAGATTTAGAGTAAAGTTAAAAATGATGTAATTTTTAAAATGTCTTCCATAAATGCGAAAATACAAAAGTTTCCATTGTCATAGTAGGCCTGAATGTTCTGTTTGCTTTTAGAAACCTTTGATTTGAAATTTATGCCCAAGAGGTTTGAGGAGGTGCTGGTGCAGAATTTCATATTGTTGCTCATCTTACCTATTATTTACTATTTGACTATTGTTTAAAACACTGACCAAACCGGAGACATATAAGGAAGAGATTGAAATGTTTATTTCCAAATATTAATACTGTTAACTTTTGGCATATACCTTCCCAGTCTTAGTGTATGAATGTGTGTGCGCGCACATTTTTTATGTCTTTAAATAATCACATTATAGATGCCCTTTTATTGATAGACAGTAGGAAGATACATGTCTTAGGATAAAAACATTCTATTCCAGAAGTTTCTACTTCTATTCTTATTCTTTGTATATCAGTTCCACAATTTGTTCGTGAAATAGAATTTCTGGCTATGGGAAAAGCATTTGGCGGGGTAGGGTGGGGTTGAAAGCTGGACCTGTAATTCTAACGTAAAGGCAGGAGGATCACAGGTTAGATGCTCATCTGGGCTATCAAGTGGGCTCAGGGATGGCCTAGGCATCTTAGTGTGAAGGACCCTACCTCAAAGTAAAATGAAAGGGGCAAACCAGCGTGCCGGCAGTGTAGCCCAGTGGTCATGCTCGTGTCTGGCATTGGTCGGATGACTTTTTGTGTAGTGAAAAAGAAGCACATTTTGATTTCGTTTCAGAATGACATCGTGCCCCTTTCAAACTCGGTGCCTGAAGATGTGGGGAAGGCCGATCAGTTGAAGGATGCAGGTAAATACTGCCCGCAGATGTACTTTCTGCCACTCTGGAGACAGCAGCTCTGAGGGGATAGCGCTGTGGTTTGTGCTGTCAGGACGGCACTGTCGTAAGCCCTGTGGTGCTTGTGGAGCAGATGTGAATGTGATGGGTAAGAGGCCTGGTGACAAAGAACGCCTTGTCAACACCAAGGCAACCAAGACGAGCCAATTTCTCGTAAGCTTTGCCCAACAAGTACCTTATGGGCTATTTACCTCGAACTGTGTTTGCTATTTGACTCAAGTTCTTCTTTAATTTTAATCAAAAAGAGGTAATTAATTTTATGGGTAGTTTTAACTTTCATATAATTAATGTTTTTAAAAAGATTTCTGAAATTTCTTCATGTTTGTATATGGCATTTGTTTTGTTTATTAACTAGCATATTTGGTTCCATCCTTGTTCTTCAATTTTTTTTTGTCATTTTAGGATTACATTATAAAATTCTGTTCTTTGGACAAGAGGATTAGTCTCTGTTTAATTTTGTTTCCTCTAAAAATGGTATTATCAGAAGGCCATGAAATCTTAAAGTACTATGACCTCATAATTTACACGTAAAATAAAAGCAACACCCAACACTCAAGGACACTTGAATTGTATTTCCCAATGCTTTTATATTTCAGCAATCCAGATACAAATATGTTTTTGATGCAATACTTTTTAACTGGAGCCGCTTTGTTTTTCTCCCACTCGGGTTTTGCCCTGTGTGAACACGGCAGTTATGCGGTGCAGCCCCTACCACCATTTTATTGTGGCAGCCGGTTTAGCTCTGGTGTTAGCGTTCGGTACATAGCAAACTGAAATGTTATTTTTGTCCCTCATGCTGCTTGCTCTGTACAGCAGTCTTGGGAAATGGTAATCCCCGTGGAGGTTTTTGTTTGGTTTTGTTGGATGTATTGAGTGTTAGAAGGATGTGGCTAGAGGGAGGCCCGGTAGCATGAGACTCCAGCACAGCGGATGGAGAGAGAGGCTGGCTTCACCTTTAACAGAAGCTTTCTGTTCTTTGTTTTCCCTGAGATAGGTCATCTATCAGACAAGCGAGAGGCCAAGGCAAAGTGAGAGCTGTTCTGTCTAGATTTTGTGACTTGTGTGAGAACAAATGGTCATGGGAAGTTGACAAGCATGGGATCATTCTAGACTGGCAGTGTCCCCTCCTAGAGCCTGGCTTTCAGATGTTTCGTGTGCTCTGGAAGAGCAGAAGGAAGCAGGAAGGGCCTGCGGCTGCCACCTCCCAATGGGGCTGTGAGAGTGAAGGAGACTGTTTGTAGAACATCCCATAACTATGAAGTGCCGGACCAGTGCTTTATTCTTCTGTCTGTCTGCAGATTTCTTTGAATCCTGAATTTGCATATCGACTCTCTTACAGATGGAAGCTTTTTAATCTTTAACATACGTTATTTACAGTGCTTGCATATATTTGTAATAGCTATGTACACGTTATAGTACCTACACATTGCAGCAAGGTATTAATGCTGATGGTGGCAAAATGCTACCCCAAGGCAGAGAGGTCCAACAGCAAGAGCAAAAGTCTCAACCAAGAGGAAGAAAGTCTTTGACAAGGAAATCAATTTAAATTCTCTGGGCCAGTGTGGTTAACTGTTTCTTAACCATAAAATTTTTGTTACTGGGAGCTGGAGAGATGGCTCAGAGGTTAAGAGCATTGCCTGCTCTTCCAAAGGTCCTGAGTTCAATTCCCAGCAACCACATGGTGGCTCACAACCATCTGTAATGAGGTTCGGTGCCCTCTTCCGGCCTTCAGACATATACACAGAATATTGTATACATAATAAATAAATAAATATTTAAAAAAATTTTTTTTGTTACCCTCTGAGATTTCTTAAAATGTTCTTGGCAGGCAATAGTGGTGCACGCCTTTAATCCCAGCACTCAGGAGGCAGAGACAGGCGGATCTCTGTGAATTCGAGGCCAGCCTGGTCTATAGAGCAAGTTCCAGGACAGCCAGGGCTACAAAGAGAAACTCTATCTAAAAACAAACCAAAACAAAACAGAACAAAAAGTTCTTTATATTAATAACTTTTGTAGAAAACTGCCTCAAATCAGTTTATCAAAAACAAATTCCTTGAGCTATTCATTGTATGAGTTGCTCCTTCACTCTGTTTGTAACAAAGATTTTTACAGCCAAATCAATTATTAACCATTTTTACCCATTAGCAGTTACTCAGGTACAGCAACTTTTGCTTACAGCTGAAGCTTAACCATTTGCCTTTCCTTAGCTCTCCCAGCTCCTGCTGTCTGTAGGCTTAGCTAACCCCACTTTCCTGTTAAAAGCAGCTAATGAAGAGAACACGATCATGGGCAGAAAACTGGGGAACCACAGAGGCTCTGAGACGTCAGTCCTGCATCCCCAGCTGTCGTGTTCTCAGTTTTAAGCAGTGGTTCTTACCAACACACTGGATACTGCACCCCTTCATGTGGTGCAGAAAGATAGTCACAGGAGATGCCGTATTCCACCAGTTAAATTACTGCCAACTGTATGTGCAATTGCTCGTCCCCAAAAATCAGTACTCAGTAGGGCTAGCGTGGCGTTTGAAATCCTCTCTAAAAATTAATCTCCTCCAATCTCTTTAAAATGATTTTATCCCCTCTAAAGACATGTTCGCACAATTGGTTTCACCAGCTTACTCTCAGCAGCCTTCCAAGCATGGCTGCCCAGAGGTGTGTGCATGTGTGTTGAAGGGAAGAGGGGAAGGTCGGGTCCAGCTAGAGATGGTATGGTGCCTAGGGAGAAAGGAATGCAGCCAGCTCTAAAGAGGAGCAGAATGAAGAAGGAGAGAATACATAGCCATGACTTAGTTGTGATGGTTGCCTTTCCTCCCACCCACTGGGTTTTGTAAGTTATGCAAGCATTCATCTCCATGACTTCACGTTGTCTAAATGATCCAAACACTGTGACACCACGAACAGTAGCCCTATGGTATGAGATAAAATTGACCCCAGTGTGAGTGAAAACCACCGTGTGTGCCCTTCATTGCTGTTGTAGTGTCTATGGTTGAAACGTATCTGTCAGACTACGCTTTTTGATACTTTGTGCTTACCGTACCTCTCATTGATCTGATTGCAGGCAATAACCACATGAAAGAGGAAAATTACACTGCCGCAGTGGATTGTTACACACAGGCGATAGAACTGGATCCCAATAATGCGGTTTATTACTGCAACAGGTAACACTGGGATTCACAGCCCTGAAAGGCAGATGCCACATATGTTTGTTTAGAAAAATTTGGAAGTACAGAAATATAAGCTGAAAGAGAAAAAATATAAAGCCATTTAGCTTCATTCAGAGGCCACCAGACTTAATTTTCTTTTAGAATATTTTGTTTTATAGGAATGCAGTCAATTTGAGATTCTACTTTGTTCACTGGACATGCAATAATTATGTCTTTTTTTTTTTGAGATGGGGTCTCATGCAGCTCAGATTATCTAGCACTTCCTGTGTAGCTGATAATAGCTTCAAACTCTGGTCCTCCTGCCTCAACTTCCGGAATTCTGGAATAAATCTACCACACCCTGTTTATGTGGTACTGGAAATTGAGCAGGATTTTGTGCACTTTGGGCAAAGACTGTACCAACTGCTCTCCATGTCCTAATGCATCCTAAGTCTTTGAAATTCTTCACAAGCATTATGTAAATCGTCATTGTTACCATTTATTCTCATTTGTATTTCCAGCGCCTATAGCTGGGGCTAGCAAGCCAGCTTTTAGTGTCCTATTTGAATGACTGGATAGAATGTATCTTTTATTTAACCTTTTACCTACTGTGGGCTCTAAGGTTATTTCCAGTTTTTCTAGTGTCGTCTAGATTCAGTGAACATCTGTGTTTCTCATTTTCTTTCTGGACCTTAGATTTATTCATAAAAATGCATTTGTTTGTTTTACCAGTTCTGAACTTTTAAAAAATTGAAACTAGGGGCTGGAGAGATGGCTCAGAGGTTAAGAGCATTGCCTGCTCTTCCAAAGGTCCTGAGTTCAATTCCCAGCAACCACATGGTGGCTCACAACCATCTGTAATGGGGTCTGGTGCCCTCTTCTGGCCTGCAGGCATACACACAGACAGAATATTGTATACATAATAAATAAATAAATATAAAAAAAATTGAAACTAACTGAAAAAGTGTCCTAACTTCTTTTGTTCCCTCCCCTAGGGATATGTCTCTTTTTTTCATGCTCTTTATGAAAATTAGGTTCCATAATTTTTAGTTATCACTATTTTAATAATGTTTTCATATAAATTATTGTATTTTATATTTACTGGGTAGTCAGGCAGGGCATTTTTTAAGATGTTGATTATGTGTGGGTAGGGTTCTTTTAAACTCTCTTATTATTTTAATTATTATTGTGTGTGGGTAATATGTATATGTATGAGAGACTAAGGGTGCACACATGAATGTTGAGGTCAAAGGCCAGCTTCCAGGAACTTGTTCTCTCCTTCCCATGTGGTTCCTGTGATTGTATTCAGGTTCAGTGGCTGCACAGTTGCTCTTCTGGGCTGAGCCATCTCAGTTTTTAATGTTTTAAAATTTTTATTTTGTATGTATGTGTGTCTTAGTTCAGATTTTTATTGTTATGAAGAGACACTATGACCACAACAATTCTTGTAAAGAAAACATTTACTTAGGGTGGCTTGCTTACCGTTTCAGAGGTTCAGTCCATTATGATCATGAAGGGGAGCATGGCACACGCAGGCAGATGTGGTGCTGGAGCTGAGAGTGCTACATCTTGCAGGCAACAGGAAGTTGACTGATAGTCACACTGAGAAAAACTTGAGCAAAAGAGACCTCCAAGCCTGCCCCCACAGTGATACACTTCCTCCAACAAGGCTTCATCCCCAGTAGTGCCACTCTCTTTGGGAGCTATTTTCTTTCAAACCACAGCAGTGTGTGTCAGTGTGCCTGTGCTTGTATGCACATGCGCTCATGTGTGGAACTCGGAGTTAACTTCGGGTTTCTTCCTCTATTACCCCCTAACCTATTTTGAGAGTCTCTCACTGAATCTAAAGCTCACAGATATTGCTACATTGGTTGACCAGCCCACCCAACACTTGCCTATCTCTACCACTCAGTGTTGAGTTTGCAGGTGTTTGCTGCCACACCTGGGTTATTCATTGGTGCTAGGATCTGGGAAAGAGGGAGGCTGCAACTTTTATTGCAGATTCTTCATTGGCATGGGCTCCAAATGATCGCTTCTTGTAAATGCCCACTTTGCCTTTGGATTGTACATTTCAAGGATTTTTCTGACTTTAATTTTTGAACGCTATACACATCTGCTAAAACAAAAATAAAATAACAAACAAACAAATAAAAATAGGACATCAGTATTTAGGATGTGCTGATCTCTGTGAGCTGGAGTCCATCCTGGTCTACATAATGAATTCCAGATCAGCTCAGATATACATAGTGAGACCCTGTCTCAAAAAACGAAACCAAACTAAAAAGCACCAAAATTATTTTAGGGAGATATAGGTGTAGAATTATTGCTTATGTCATTTCTTTAGTAGTTTTGCTTTTAAAATTTATGTATTTGTATGTTTTATGTATGTTAACACCCTGCTCTCTTGCACACCAGAAGAGAGCATCAGATCACACTGCAAATGGTTGTGAGCCACCATGTGGGTGCTGGGAATTGAACTCAGGACTTTGGAAGAGCAGCCAGTGCTCTTAACCTCTGTGCTATTTCTCCAACCCTCAGTTTAGCTTTTAATGCTTAAAAGAAGGCTAGCATTGTTTGCACAAAAGATTGATGAGCCTCTCCGCCAAGTAGTAATGAAGTCACTTTTGAGTGCACACTTTGAGCATGCTTTTGTACACTCCTGTAATCCCAGAGCTCAGGAATATCGTAAGTTTGAGTCCAGCCTGGGCTGCACAGTGTAACCCTGTGTCAAAAAAGAAAAAGAGGAGGAAAGGAAGACATTCTGTTGCATGAACTTCTGCTTTTGTTTTTAATTTATAGTTATTTGTGTAAGGGTTGGATCCATAAAGAACTCAATGAGCCATACTGGGAAGCTCCATTTTATTTCTTTACATACACATGAAAAACCAAAAACAAATGAATCATTCTAAGTCTATCTAAGAAAAACAGAAAACCCAAAAGTAAATTGAGGAAGAGGAATTCTCCCAAGCTACATTTTGATATTTGAATCACAGTCTTTGTAACCAGATAAATACACATAATATTTTAATTTAATTCAGTAGATGAAACCTTGAAAATAAATTTCAGAGTAGCATGAGATATTATGACAAGATACAAATGTTGCTGTAAAATCGCTTGATTATAGAGTACGGTGAGCCACATACTTGTTATGAAAAATGTGAGCCTAAGTAAATAATTCATTTTTCGTGAGATTAGAATTCACTAATATTCGTATGTCTGCTGTAACTGGGTTAAAGATTTTTAGAAATATCTATTCTTGCTTTTAATTACTATTAAACTGAAATTAATGAATACACTTCTCTTTTGAATTTAAATAGGCTCTTTCCCCTGAGGAGTTTCAGTCATAGGACATGCTGTTGAATATCAAACAATTAGAAAGGTTTATTTGCCTACTTAACACAAGTGCTGGATAAAAGCTTCAGGGTCATTTGGAGGATTTTTGGGTTACAGCCTGCTGTAACCTTGCCACTTTACCGCTGCCATTTTTCTTAGCCACCTGACTACATAGAATTGGAGGCGCAGACTCCCAGGTAGGAACCTTGTTCTCCATACCCTGTTTCACAGTTTACTGCTAGTTCAAATGCTCCCTGCCCGCCGAGTGCACTGGGATGAACTACACTTTACCTAGTGGAGAAGTACGACCCTGACGTTTACCTTCTGGTTTGGCTTTGAAGGATACTGGTGATTGTTAGGCTCACTTCAGATCCAGAGAAGACACAAGTTCTTCTTTTTTTTGGTGGGCAGCCTAGCCTTCAATGGTTGAGTCATCTCTCCAGCCTATGAGTCCTTTGAAAGCCTTTTCCCCCCCTTTTTTCCCCCATGAGTGTCTAGCACTTATCACAAATGTAACACCTATATAGGTTTAGCATGCTGGATGCAGATTTTTGTACCTCAAAGAGCAGGGATCGGGGTGTATCTTTTATGAACTGTAGCAGCAGCAGTGTCCCTCCCAGGAACTCACACAGTTTTCCCTGATAAACAGGGAGCTCCTGAAGAAATGTAAGACATTTCCAGTGATACGGAAGCAAATAGATTGCCGCGTTAACACCTGTGCCCATAAAACAAAAGTGATTGCATGTGGGCGCTCTACAGTTTGCCTTTTGTTTCTGAAAACACGTGGCGTTCATATTTCTTCTATGCTGTGTCAGTGCTGGGTCTGTTACTCTTTCTCTCGCAGGCTCTTGCTGCCGAGCTAGAGGGTTGAACCACTGAAGGCAGTAAATGGAAAAAGAGATACAAGACAGAGAAAGGGACTTACAGGAAAATGCACTTGGGTGAGGAGGGAGGGGTTGGAGTTTGGAAAGACAGGAAAATGGAAGACATTTCAGGTTGGAGAGCAGAATGGGGGCTGGGGCGAAGGCCCAGTTGGGAAAATGCCTACTACGCAACCTTGAGGGCGTGAGTTTGGTCACCAGAACCCACATTTTTGAAAACTCCAGGTGTGTTGGTGCTTCTTTATAATCTCAGTGCTGGAACCAGAGCTAGGTAGAACCCAGGGGCTTGCTTGACAAGTCAGCACAGGCTGCTTGGTGAGCTCCAGACCAGTTGTCCTCTGAGCTCCAGGCGTGTCCTGTGGCATGTGTGTGCCCACAAACATAGACACACCCTTGCACACAATGCACACACACTCACACAATAGAAAAGGTCAAACCGCAGTCACTTTCTTTTGTCCCGACATTCTCTCCTTAGTTGGTCCCTCCTGCCTTTGTTCCTTATTGTCAGGATGGGAGGAGGATGGGAGGACCGTGTTCTGAGAATCTTTAGTCTTGCTCCTTTTCCCCGTAGGCCTCAAGTTTTAAAACAAGGCTAAAGTAGTGGAATAGACTGAAGATGTAGCTAAGTGGTAGAGTGCTTGCCTGCCATGTGCAGGGACCTAGATTAATGCCCAGTACAATGTCTGGCTCCTCACGCTTACAGTTTTTTAATTGAGAAAAAAGATGGTATGTTAATTTTTTTAATAAATACTAAACTTTTATGCAGGGCCTCAGTTAAGCTGTATGAAGAATGTTTGACAGAAAGGTAGACTTGAAGCCACCTTTTCTGAGAGTCATGGTAACCTATACTTGTAATCCCAGCCTAGAGAGGTTCAGGCCTGAAGAAGGAGAGTTCAAGACCAGCCTGACTATGAAACAAGATAGTGTCTCAAAATGAGAACTGAAAACCAAAGTGCAAACAAAACAACAACACAAAGAAAGAAAAAAAAACCTTTTTTCTTTCCTTCCCCCCACCTCTCCCTTTCTTTCCTTCCCTCCTCCTCCTCCTCCTCCTCCTCCTCTTCTTCTTCTTCTTCTTCTTCTTCTTCTTCTTTTGTTGTTTTGAGACAAGGTCTTTTATAGCTCAGACTGGCCTTGAACTCACTGTGTGGCTGAAGCTGGCCGTGAATTTCTTATCCTCCTACCTCTATCTCCTGAGTCCTGGGATGACAAGTGTGTATTGCTGCCATTTTTTGCCTTTCTCTTCCCCCTTCCCCACTAGCCTCTGGCACTGTTGACAGCAAGAATAGCATGTCACTATTGCTAGCCATCATTCTTAGAAAGTGTCTGTGTGCCTGAAGGTCCTCCAAAGATGCACTAGCTTAGCGGTAGAGCACTTGCCTAACATGTGCAAAGATCTGAGTTTGATACTCGGTGTCGGCTGAGTTAGAGAGCTTCCATTAGGACAAGAATGGAGCGGTTATACGAGGGTGAGCAGGAGGCATGTGGAAGCTGCAGGTGGAGTGCTACGTCCACAGCCAGAGCCAGGCACACAATTAAGTTTTATCTCTCACCTTGGAACTTCTCAGGAAGTGTCAGTTCTCGAAGAGATTCTGTGTAGTAGGTTTGCAATTATCAGTTCAGCTATTGAGTCGGCAGGATTTCGGGCACTGGTTCGCTGTTCGTACTAGTTGTCTTCAAGCAATATAAGCACTGGGCAGAATACACTAGTAGATGTGGACTGTGCTCCCCAGTGCGTGAGAGTTTCCTATGGTGGTCAGAAATGGAGTTTCTCTGAGGACCTGTCATCCCATCCTTACTAGAATGGAGCAGAGTTTCAGTTATGGATGTATTATAGGTTAGAAGGTCAAATTGGGCAAAAGCAAGAGGATTTTCTTTTCCTTTTTTTCTTTCATGTCATTTCATTTACTTTTTGCCTTTGAGGCAGAGCCTCACCATGTAACCCTGGAACTTGCTATTGTAGATCATGCTGTTCTTGAATTCACAGAAATCGGTCTCACGAGTACTAGGATTAAAAGCATATACCACCATGTCTGGCCAAAGTACAAGTCTTTTGTTCTTTCAAAATCTACTTTCTGGATTATGTAGGTCATTAATATGCATATTAGTTGTGAAGCTGATCTCCAAAATGTCTATCAGAGCTAATCCACACTAAATACGATTATTTCTTACAGAAAATTTGGAAGATCTGTTTTCCCAGTTTCAATGTCCAGGATTATCAGTGTTACTTTCAGTTGCTTCCCCCAAGGGTTGGTTTTATAGAACACTGCTTGTGGGTAGCCAACATTTGGTCATTTACTTTGGACATTCAGTGCGGACAGAATATGATAGTGGTTGTGTAAGTCAGGCTTCTCTAAAGGAACAGAACTGATAGAATGGAAAAAAACCCTCTGTGTGTGTGTGTGTGTGTGTGTGTGTGTGTGTGTGTGTGTGTGTGTGATTGACTAGAGTGGCTTACAGGCTGAAGTCTGAGTAGTCCAACAATGGCTGTCTCCTGACAGGAAATCTAAGAATCTAGTAGTTGTTCCATTTGCAAGAGTGGATTTCTTAGCAGTCCCAATCTGGTGCTGGAGTCCCAGGGAAGTCATAGAGAGTCACTCATTCTCAGTCTGTGTTGGAATTCCAAAGAAGTGGGTTCTTACACCAGCAAAGGAATGGCTCAGGAACAGGGTAGATGAACTTGCCAGCGAGAGTGAGGAAAAAGCAAGTTTCCTTCTTCCATATCCTTTTGTGTGGGCCACATCTTCTCAAGAGGCCAGTGGAGAGCATGGTGTTTTAGTCATGGCTAGGGACCTGTCTCAGTGGGTAAAAATGCTGGCTTCAAAGGACTGGTGATTTTAGTGCAGGTCTGCCAAACCCAAGCCCCTGAGTTCAGATCCCAGAACCATGTAGTCTAGCATCTGAATTCCCAGTATGCCCCTGGGGATGGGAGACAGAGGCCGGAGACTCTCCAGAAGCCCAGAGCCAACTACTCTGCTTTATGAAGCTGAGGAGAACCTGTCTCAAGGTGGAAAGTGAGGAGTGACACTTGAAGGTGTCTAACTGCTATACACTGACACACATAGGCACACGTGCACACACGTGCACGCACACACACACAAGTTTTTATCAATTTTGCTGTTTTCATGTGTGTTACTAGAGTCTAGGAAGTCCCGAATGAAATCACTGCTGATTAGTTTCAAGGAAGACAGAAGGTTGACTGGGTAGTTAAACAAACAAAAGGTTTGGGCCATTTAGACAGCAAGCATGCATGTAAGAGAAGAATAAAGGTAGGAAGGACGAGAGTAGTGCTTCTCAGGTTGTGGGCGAGCTTAGCAAATGGGGGGGGAGTGGGTAATGATTGTTGAGGACTTTTGTTTGTAGACTCAAGAACATGAAGGCATCTAAACCAATTTCTGGGTTTGTAATATTCTTCCCCCCAAAGGGCCTCCTGCTTTTACTTTTAGAAGGGCTGTCAGGTTTTGGTACAGTGTTTGGAGTAGCAGGACATAGCATACCCTTGGAGGGTTGTGAGAACCTAAGATGCAGTCCCCTGCCCTGGCCCTCATGTGGCTCTTTCTTGACTGCTGATACTCCTTGTTGGCCTCTGAGGATGAATCTTAGGTCTTCTCCTCCCCATTTCCCATCTGAGCAAACTCTCCCTACTTCACATTATTATCGACAGGTCGTAGTTACTCAGATGCTTACCTAGACAGATGCTGGTTTTCTAGAGTTGGCCTCTTTGGCCTTCTACTGAAGTAGATTCTGAGGTCTGCTGAGGGAAATTATGAGAACATTTGAGAGTCTGAAAGAAACAAAGTTTAGTCTGTGTCAGTAGTGAATGGACGGGAGAAAGTGTGAATGGGTTGGAGAATTTTTGGTATGCTTTAACTTTTCTATTAAAGTGACCAAGACATCGCAACTGCCCTCTCTTTCTGCCTCTCTGGTGGTCTGATGCCCCAGTGTTTTCAGTTTGCATTTTAGGCAAACTGAGAGGCAATAAATATTAGGTGGGTTGTGTGCCACACACATTTGTCTTCTCTGTAAAGCAAAGAGGAAAAGGGAGCTTACATATTTTTTTCTGATGTCTTAGGCTGTTTTTAAATTGTTGTATAATTAGACAGTTTGACTTAGAAATTTATGAAGAGTGATGTAAAAATCGGGGCAAGAACTACACAGTTTCATGCCTGAAAAGCTGGACCGGTGCCTTGGGAGTTGCCTGATTCTAACGTTTTTCCCTCTTAGAGCTGCTGCTCAAAGCAAATTAAGTCACTACACAGATGCAATAAAGGACTGTGAGAAAGCAATAGCGATTGACTCAAAATACAGCAAGGCCTACGGAAGGATGGGGTAAGTGCTCAGAGTTGCCCAAAGTATTTCCAAGTCGCATCATCCATGCTGTTGTGGAGGCTCGATGCTGAATATCCTAACATTGCCCTCTGTGCGAGAATAAGACAAATATATGCAATAGAATGGAGAAAGTGACTCCCCCTGAGGATGAGGTCAGCAGAGGCTGTTTCATCACTGACTGGAGAAAGTTGTTGGAGAAAGCCACAAATTATGAAAAGGCTCACTTCATAAGCTTGCACCATGAAAAAGCACCAAAAAGGTTCATAGGTCCCTAACCATGTATTTTCCCCAGACACCACTATTTAGTTTGTTAGTTTTGTGTTTATGGAGACTTTATAGGATTTAATTTCTGTGAGTGAGAACTGGCCATATGTGCCTTTGGATCTCTTAAGTTCTGCCTGAGCTCCAGACTCACACATTCCATTAATTTTTATTTCTGTGTCTGAGTATTTAAAAGATGTTTTAAATTTCTTGTGTTTCAAACAGAACTCCTGCTCGCTTCTTAACTCTTTCCCCTGTGTTCATCTACCCAGTGCTTAGGTCAGAAGCCGACTTGTTTTCCATCCATCTCATCTCCTGGCACTTCTGTTCTGGTCTTATTTTCCTGTGTATCTTGGATTCAGTTTTTGACTGGCTTATTTATAGGCCTAGCACAATTGCCACCTCTTACCTAGTCTACTTTAGAAACCTCCCAACTGGCCTTTATGCCTTAATTCTATACCTCATCAATTTTTATCCTCGGCAGAGAAGCCAGAGTAAGTAGAGAGAACATTTGCCTAGTATTCAGGTAGCCCTGGATTTGAGCCCCAAGACTGTATAAACTGGATTTGGTGCTGCATGCCTACAATCCCAGCACTTCAGAGGAAGAAGCAAGAGGATCCTGAGTTCAAGATCATCCTTGGCTACCTAGCAACATTAAGGCCAGCCTGGGCTACGTAAGACCCTGTCTTAGACCTGCCCACCAAATCCTAAAAGTATAACTCAAACATTACAAATCATTCCTTTGCGACTACAGTTTAAAAGTCTGAACTATAAAGGGTCCCATATGAACAACATAGCCAGGAAATCTCTCCACTTCGTTTCTTTTGTTCCATCCTCACGTGCCTTTATTCCGTACTTTAAGCATACCACACCCACATCTTAGGGCTTCTGTGTTTACCGCTGCATCTGGGTAGATAGTCTTCCCCCGAGTTCCCTATGATTACTTTCTGTCATACATGTCTTCAGGGTGTGGCCATTTTTGAGCAAACTCAGCTGTCATTCTCTTTAATAGGACCTATTCTGTATGCGTGCTTGTTGTCTGTGCTCCTCAGGTGGAAGGGGAGTTTCTTAAAATGAGGAACTTTTTAAAAAATTGTGAAATGCTCAGGATTTAAGATAGTACCTGGTACATAGTAGGCTCTCAATACTTGTTGATGATTAATTGGAAAGGTTGCTGAGGATCCTTCAAGGTTGGCTAATAGGAAACTAATTGAGTTGTAAGAATTTCTTATTGTATCTACATGAGAAGGCTGTGAGGTAATCCAGAGAAAGAAAGAATTATATTAATTTGTTTAAAAACAATCCCAGAACAAATGAGACACTCAATACTCTCTCTTTATACATGTTATTACTGCTTAATTCTGATGTAATTTTCAAGCACATTATAGGTAGGAAAAGCTAAAGATTGAAATTTAATAATGCATAGACTTGTGCCTGTGATGGTAATTTATTATTTGAATGACGAGAGATCCTTATTTTGTCTGTCTGACGATTAATGTGTTGTTCAGGACTAGTCATTAGATAGCCACACTCTAGTTTTGGAAAGATGGGAAACTGAGGCCAGTGGGATGGCTCAGCAGGTAAAGGCTCTGGCCGTGTAAGTCTGAGGATCCCAGCTCAATTCCCTAGCCCGTGTTAAAGTGTAAGGAAAAGAGCAAATCAACAGAGTCGCCCTCTGGCCTCCATGCTTGTTCCATGGCAGGCCCCTCCCCTTGATAAATAAGTCAGTAGTTTTTAATAGCTGTAGGGAAGTGAAACAGTAAAAGAAAAAGATGGAAAACTAATATTTATTTTTGTTCAAGATCCTTTGGGAGGGAAGCATGTGGGGTGCTCAGAAGTGCACAGTGTTTAGAGGCAGATGTGTCCCCCCTGAGGCCCGCGGGCTGCAGGTGTTGCAGATAGCTGTCGGTGGCAGTGTTGTCATAGGGTCAGATGGTTTGACACTGCTGGTTTCTTAGAGTCTCAGACATGATGTCAGCATCATAGATTTACATGACCGCAAGACTGCTAGCACAAATCTTCGTTTAGCTCAGCCTAGAAATTCATAAAGCAAATTCCTTTATTTACAATACATGTTGGTCTTAAAAAATAGTATGTTTCATTTCTGAGCTTTAGGTTGGATGTTCCGTGGGAGACACAGTCAAACTGAAAGGAGACCATTCAGGTTTATAGAATCTTGGAGTTGGGAGAATTTTAGTGCCATCTCTCAGAACCATAATATAATGAGGATTCAGTATAATCGGGGTTAGAATTGAATACTAAAGCATTTGTCGTTCTGCTCTGTTTCCCAAGGCTGGCCCTCACTGCCATGAATAAGTTTGAAGAGGCAGTTACCAGCTACCAGAAGGCACTGGATCTTGATCCCGAAAATGATTCCTATAAGTCAAATCTGAAAATAGCAGAACAGAAGTTAAGAGAGGTGGCTAGTCCTGTAAGTTGTCACTGTAAAGTCTGTGGAATAGATCTGTCACTCACGATTGATTGACATCGTCGTGGCTGGAATGAATCTCAGATATAACTCTTTTACAGACAGGAACTGGCTTGAGCTTTGACATGGCCAGCTTGATAAATAATCCGGCGTTCATCACCATGGTGAGTATACTTTCTTTTTGATCTACTGGTTGCTGTCCACTATATATTTGCAAACCGTTTCTGCCATACTTTTTAAGGAGATGGAATCTTTCAATAGTTGCTGGCACTGACCCAAAGCCCTTGGGCTCAAGTGATTTTCCTGCCTCAGTCTCAAGAAGGCTGGCAGTGCAGTCTCTAAAATGTTTTAGAAGCAAATAGAGGAGTTTTTGGTAAGTGGCAGGTTTATGGCAGAGGCAAGGATAGAGGCTCTTCACCTGTCTGCCTTGCTCAGAGGGAAGCGAGGGTGGATGTTAGAAAGCCCGTAGCTTTCCTAAACTGGAATATAAGTCAATGTTTGTGTGACTCTGTGTACTTTATAAGTCAAAACTCATATTTTTCACTAGATTGCCAATTTTCAAATATATGAAAGGTTAAAAACCATTGTCTTGGGCTGGTGAGATGGCCCTGAAGGTAACAGTGTTTGCTGCACAAGCTGGTGATCCAAGTTCAGTTCCCACGGTTCATGTGATGGAAATGAAAGGACTGACTCCTACAAGTTGCCTTTTGATCTCCACGCAAGCGTGGTGGCACAAGTAATGTGCATATATACCAAATGCACACCACACTCTCTAGACAGACAGACAGACAGATAGAGACAGATAGACAGATAGATGTAATTTAAATCCCCAATGTCATATAAAACTGGTCCTAGGAAGATATATCTATCAATTGATAGCTGAAGATTTTGATTGTAGCAAATACCCAAGCTTGTCCCTCGGTATTGTTGACCTGTTTTCTGTCCTAAGCATTTATGTTTTTAAAAACAGCTTCTCATGTAGCCCAGGCTGTCCTCAAACTTGGTATGAAGCTGAAGGTGACCTTGAGTTTTCGATCTTTCTGCCTCCTGCATGCTGGGATTACAGCGTGTACTACTAAATTCAGTTTATACAATGCTGGAAGCTGAACCCAGGACTTCATGCATCCTAGGCAGCTAAGCAGCATCCCTAGATTTGCCCTCTGTTCTTCAAATCAACAAAATAACTTAGGGACCTTTGAAAAACAATCATAATCCAACCCAGTACTTAGTGGGTTTAGGATGTCACCCGGGTCTATAGTGCCCCATGAATGACTGCACACTTTGCATGAAAACATTCTGCTGCCTGCATGGAAGTGGATGTCTGTAGTGCCTGCTTTGGAAGCCCGACGAAGGAAGATGGAGAGTTTTAGGTCATCCTTGCCTACATAGGAATTTGAGGCCTGTCTTGGCTACATGGCAAGACCCTGTTTTAATACAAAGCCATACATACTCCATCATTGACTGTACTTCTGGAATAGGAATAGCTCCTATTCATCTTTGTTCAGATAAGTGTGTTTTATAATCATTAAATCCTTAGTTCAACTGAAAGACATAGTCCTCTATCAGTTTAGTTGGCCTTCTTACCTATTTGCTGGCAAACACATGCCCCCTTTTAAATCTTGTGATGTTCTAGAGCCTGGCTTACTCATTTCCAAATCATAAGCAAGTTATATTCTCAGGTTATGTTACTGTAACATAAAATGAAAATTATTGTTATTAAATTATTATTATTAAAATTCAGATTAAATTTAATCTCTAAGCTGCTACATCCAAAACAAGGTGGAACAATACCACGTAGGAGCTTGCAGGGTTAGAAACACATTTTGACTCTTAAAAGGGGGCCAGGGTCGGTTTGTGGGTGAACCTCCATAGCAGAGCACGTGGGTAACATTCTCCAAGGCTTGATTCCCAGCACTGCTCTAATACAAAAACACATAAACACAGAAGTAAAGTCAGGGCTGAGAACATAGGTCAGTGGTAGGCATGTTTAGTGTTCAAGAAGCTCTGAATTCAATCCTCAGTACTGTCAAATAAAGGAAGGTAATAGAAACAGATGACAATTATAAAGAAAATTAATAGTAAAGGACCAGGTTGATTGTTGATTAAAATGGAGATTTGAGGATTGGTTGGCTTGCCATTGTTGCTCTGTGACGGAAGCATGGAGGCCTTCCTTCATCTCCGGACCACTACAGAGGGCTGTTCTGGTCTCCATAGCATGGTCAGTCACATCCAGCTCCTTGGTGTCATCCTTCTTACGAGTACACAATCTCAAGCTGAGAGATGGCTCAGCGGTTAAGAGCCCTGACTGGTCTTCCAGAGGTCCCGAGTTCAATTCCAGCACCCACATGGTGGCTCACAACCATCCTTAATGAGATCTGGTGCCCTCTTCTGGCCTACAGAGATACATCAGACAAAACACTGGATACATAATAAATAAATAAATCTTCAAAAAAAAAAAAGTACACAATCTTGGCCTTGCGATGGTGGCATACACCTTTAACCCCAAATTCAAGGCCAGCCTGAACTACAGAGTGAATTCTAGGACAGCCAGAGCTACACAGAGAAACCGTGTTTCAAACAACAACAAACAAAAACAAAAAGCACAAGGGTTTTTTTTTTTTTTTTTTTTTTTTTTTTTTTTTTAATAGTTTTAAAGTTTCTCTTTTTCCCTTTTGGTCCGTTGATCTGATCAGTCATGGCAATGCTCTCCATCAACTGTATTTTTTTATTGTCTGCAGTCTCACGCTCCTTCTCTCTTATACCTTCCCATTCACACTAGAACAACCCCCCCCCCCAATGTTAGGGTTTGCATCACTGGGTTTTATTCCTGTATCTTTACAAAATCTTTGTAACATCCCTCAGCATTACTGCCATATTTTAACAGGCAATTGTGTTTTCCAATTACAGGCTGCAAGTTTAATGCAGAACCCTCAAGTTCAACAGCTGTGAGTATAACAGCTCCTCATGCCTTTGCCTTCTTGTTGCCAGGCTCCTAATCCGAGCAGCTCGTCTCACAGTTGATAAAAATGCACCGAATTCCTGTTACTTAGAACTTAAGGTCGACTTAAACACTTGATTCAACCCCTTCTATGGTGCTGATACACTTGTCTGGCTTTTCCATCCTGTGAAGAATATACGCTAATCTCCATGTATGTCTCTTATTATCCTAGAATGTCAGGAATGATGACAAATGCCATCGGAGGACCTGCCGCTGGGGTTGGAGGCCTAACGGACCTGTCTAGCCTCATCCAAGCGTGAGTGTTTGCCCTAGCTTGCTTCCCATCAGATGGATAAGACACAGTGGTCAAAATCAACTTGGCGAGGGAAAGCTTTATTTCAGCTTGCAGGTTACAGTCCATCATGAAGGGAAGTCAGGGCAGGAACTCAAGGCAGGAACTTGGAGGCAGGAAAAACTAATTCCTCCAAGTTGTTCCCTGACTTACACATGTGCACCAGAAACACATGTGCTCCTGCCAATAAATAAGTGGATGTTGAAAATGCTTTTGAACGTGATCACTCATGAACATGCATGTTCACTCATGCACATGCATGCGTGTTTGGTCTGATGATGCAATGTTGCCCTTCAGACTCATGGTGTTCTTTCCTGGTACTTTTGTGTGTTGGAGTTTTGTTGTTTGACACAGAGCTTCATGTAACTCAGGGCGGCTGTCAATTTGCCATGAGGATGAGAATGAATTTGAATGCCTCAGCCTCCTGCTTTCCCCTCCCAAGAGCTAGGATTATAGGCATGGACTCATGTGTCCTGCTCCTAATGCTTATTTTTAAAAGAAATAATTTATGTTTACTAAATATTCTGTTTTGAGAGTTGATAAATTCAATGAGGTTTCCTATACTTATCTGAATTTTTATTTAAGAACTAAAATCACAAAATTCAGTTTCAGCACAATAATAAAAATACCATGTTTGATAACTAAAATAAATAAATAAAAGAAAAACTCTAGGACAGGCAAGCTATAAATCTCAGCAGCTGTCTAGAAGAGAAGAATCAGGAAGAGAAGGGAAAATGAGAAAGAACATCCCCACAAACGACTCTTTTCCCTCTCAAAAAAAAAAATCCATGTTGTTTGAGTTAAGCCAGCATGGAGGTCAGCCATGGTAGCAACATCATAAAGCAACATGGCAGGTAGGGGGCTTCAGAGAAAAAGTAGGGAAACCCAGAGTACCATAAAAATTCTGTGTAGTTGCTGACCAGCATCCAAATGAAAGAGACAAAAACAAAAGAATAGGAATTTCATCAGGACTCAGAAAAGTGACCAGACCCAAGGAACCTCATGGTGGCTTGTATAAACTGTCTAAACTTTTTTTTTTTTATTTTTGATACTAGGTCTTATATAGACCATGCTATCCTTCTCATTATGCTGCTGAGGGTGGTTTTGAACTCTTGATCTTCTTGCCCCTCTCTCCCAACTGCCAGAATCATAGACGTGCACTACCATCCTGTTCCAAAGCTGGGTATGGTTGTTTAATGAGGTGTGGGGATTGAAGCTAGAGCCTTAGGAATGCTAGGAAAGGGTTCTCTTGGGCTAGAGAGGTGGCTCAAAGGTTAAGAGCACTTGCTGCACAATAATGAGAAGTGGAGTTCTGATCTTCACACCTTCATGAAGGACCTGGGTATCCCATACACACCTCTAACTTCAGATCCAAAGGCCAGAGACAGGAGGACCACTGGGGCTTGCTGGTTTCCAGCTTACACAAGAAAATGCAAGTTCCAGATTCAAGGAAAGGCAGGAAGAAATAGAGGACACCAGGCATCTCTTCTGGCCTAGGCTTGTACATCTGCATACCATGTGACTCTGTGCACATGTGCACGCATGTGTGTGCGTGTGTGCACACAGTTCTGTCATTGAACTACATTCCCATGCCTATGTTAAAACTTTGTCTTTTAAAAATTCACTTTTCAGCTGGGTGGTGGCGCATTCCTTTAATCCCAGCACTCAGGCGACAGAGGCAGGCAGATTTCTGAGTTCGAGGCCAGCCTGGTCTACAGGCTGAGTTCCAGGACAGCCAGGGCTACACAGACACATCCTGTCTTGTCCCCCTCCCCTGCCAAGAAAAATAAGTTTGTTTTTCAGTGACCTCTAATAGGACCCAGCTTGGGAGCTGTTAGGTCTCTCCAGAAACTAGGAAGCCTTGGTGCTGCTAAGAGCATTGTTTCAGGACATACTGTAAAGGATCATACCTTTTAGTCCTTTGAGTAATGTGTGGACAAGTAAATTGCATTCAATTCAGGCATTCCTATTTTAGCTTAGGCATTTTGTTTCATATTGTGATCTGCACCAAAAGGCTGACAAGCAAAGGGTGTTTTGCTTTCTAAAAAGAACTCTGTCCTGGCTGGAGAGATGACTCAGTTGGTAAAGAGCTTGCCTTGCTACCATGAAGACATGAGTTCCATCCACTGAATATGACTCAAAAAATCAAACCAAACAAAACTGGAAGTGATGACACATCTTATAATTACCACGCTGGGGAAATAGGGACAGGAGGATGAGTCCCTGGGGCTTGCTGGCCTGCTAGCTGGCCTGACCAACATTGCAGCTTTCTGGCCAGTAATTAAACCCTGTCTCAGAGCAAACAAAAGAAGTAGATTGCACCTTAGGACCAGTGTTGACACTTGATTCTCCAGCTCCACGTGTGCACCTGCCCTCTGTGCAACAGTGCACACATGAAATGTACACACACACACAGACACACACACACACACACACGTGTGCACCTGCCCTCTGTGCAACAGTGCACACATGAAATGTACACACACACACAGACACACACACACACACACAGACACACACACACATGTGTACACCTGCCCTCTGTGCAACAGTACACACATGAAATGTACACACACACACACACACACACACACACACACACACACACCGTGTGAACTCTCTGTCCTGTAGTAATGCTATCTGGAATATAGCATTATAGGAACAACGTTATGGTTCTAAAATTTGTGTTTATAGAATAACTTGTGTTATATTCCCTTGGGTAGTTCCCAGTGTCTGCAGTACGTTTTGCACGAGTACTCTGTGACTAGAGAGTCCCCCACCCAATTTATTCTGCCTTTTTCCTGCAGGGGACAGCAGTTTGCTCAGCAGATCCAACAACAGAATCCGGAACTGATAGAGCAGCTGAGGAATCACATCCGCAGCAGGACGTTCAGCAGCAGCACCGAAGAACATTCCTGACTTGATCGGGACCCTCACCCCCAGTACAGATAGTGGTTCTGACATGTCCACCTGTAGATAATAGCCCAAAACCAAGTAACCGAAACCACCCTACACAATGTCTGGAAATAATGGAGGAAAGTCTCTTGTGTAAAACCGAGAGAGTCCATCCGTTTAGAGTATAGTTTATCACCAACAGACTTGAACATAACACAAACTCCTTCGGAAACAAACCATCAATAGCCTTGTTAAGAGCTAATACAGCCTTGGGACAAGGGCCCATCCATTTTAAAACTTTTATCATCCTGTTTGTATATCAGACTTAGTACAGAGTATATTTATTGAACAGTAGGGCTATTTACTGGAAAGTTCTTTAGCTACAGGTTTCCCTTGGCCATGGTTTTGAGAGAGGCGATGACTAAGTGGAGAGACTTCTCATGCTGGTTTGGAAGAAATGTGCTTGGTAGCACATCAGGAGAGGAGCTTTGGCATGTGCCACCATCAGTAACACATGTCTGTTGTGGGTACCAGTACTGTCTGTAGGGTGGCTTGTACTGGGGACAGGGAATCTTTAGTTTGATGCAGGCGATGTTTTGGAGATACTGTGAATGTACAGAATGCACCGGAAGGATGCTCAGGTTTTCTGCCTCGATTTTAACTAATCCTGTCTGTAGTTTAGGGTTGGTAGCATTCGCATGGTCAGTTAAGTACATAATGAAGCACACTTAGAGATCCTTAACGGCACTGGTCGGGCCAGTGCACACAACTGCTCTGTTCATTCTCCTAGTCTTATTGTCACAGTTTCATTGGTGGGAAACTTACCTAGGGCAGTGTCTAGTTACACTTTACAAAGCCACTGACCGGGCCCCAAATTATGGGATTTCTAAGTGGAATTTAATTATGTGCCCATCTGCAATGATTTTATTTTTTTATTTTACCATTATTTGATGGGTAACAAAGGCATCTATCGCCGACACTGCTCCTCTGTGGGATCCTTGGCTGCAGTTTGGCTTAGCATGACAGTCTTATGCTTAACTTTAATTTATTGCAATTTAAACATATCAGGAGACTTCCAATATCTTACCATATTTATGCATCTGGCATGTGGTGAGTAGAAAGAAATGGCGTGAGATACTAGTGGCATGATTCTAGGTGACTTGGTGGATGAGAAAATTCCAGTTTCAAATGGAATGTGCTTATGAACCAAAAAGTGGTTAAATGGGGGCTGTTATGTAATGATTTTACAGGCGTGACGAGGGAAGAGTGAAAGAACGTAATTTAAGATGAGACTAGCCGCACAGCCTTCCCGAAGCTCTTCTCAGTCTGTGCATTTCGGAGCTCGAGGTTTCAAAACCTTTTTTTTTTTTTTTTTTTTTTTGCCAGGCAGTGGTAGCACATGCCTTTAATCCCAGCACTCAGGAGGCTGAGGCAGGTGGATCTCTGTGAGTTCGAGGCCAGCCTGGTTTGCAGAGCACGTTCTAGGACTGGCTGCATAGCTACTGAGAAACTGAGAGACCCTGTCTTGAACAAAAAAAACAAACAAACCAAAAATCAAACCCTTTTTCTTTTTCGCCTTTTGTGAGACAGTGGTTTTGTAATTTTACTGTACATCAGGTGGGGAAAATTAATTAATTCAAAATTCTGGTGTAGGGTCATATCATCAAATAAGATTCACCATTTTAAACAGTGCTCCACGCAGTCAGGCCTCAACTTTAGAACAAATAAAGTTGCGTAAGGTTGGGGGTCTCTCCTCAAGTAGCCAGCAGGCACCTGGGCAGTCTCACGTGGGACAGCCAAGAAACAGTTCTGGTAGAGAACGGGAACCTCTGACAGAGAACTGGGTTGTGTCGGCTGTCACACAGTGTTCAGAGTGAAGTACTTCCTGCTTACATAAAGGTTAGGACTGGAGTCAAAGACAATTCAAAGCTGACAACTAAAAGCCCAGTCCTCCAGTGCTGAATATGTTAATAATCCTAGAACAGGCTTTCAGTTCAATAAAACTGGTGAATCCTCGACTAGGCAACAGAAAATACAAATTAACAACAGCATCAGAGATGGAAGAGAGAGTGCTTGCCTAGGAAGTGAGCACATGGGTTCAATTCCATCACTGCATTAAAGAAGAAACACATAGGATAGGAGCAGATATACTAGGAACAGCTCCTGTGGGATATTAGAAGGGAAACTGGGGGTCGGCAGCACAGTGCCTGCCCAGCAGGAAGCCCTGGGTTGCTCCTTCCCTAGTACTGCATGGAACTGGAAGGACAAAGTGCACCTGTAATCCAACACTTTGGAGGTGGAGGAATTCAACACCAGTCTTGGCTGCAGGAGACCCAGTTTCAAAACCAACAAAACGAAGTACCCAGTAGGAAACAAACAACAAAAAGGACAATTAGAAAGCCTTTGTGAAGAAATTTCCATACCTTCCAGGACAAACAAAAAACAAAACAAAAACCGGTTAGGCTCAGATGATCTTGGTAGTCAGCTCTACCAAAGTCTTCAGGAGAGAATAATATCCATTCCATATGGCTTCCAAAACACAGAAGAGGAAGAAATAGTTCCCAACTCACTTGACCAGTAATATCCTGGTAGGAACGACCCTTTCTCATCAGCAGCTGTGGAACACTGACTTCCTATGCTAACACTCTTGGCTAAAGGTAGCTTTTCTTTTTACACAAAATCAAGGAACTGGTGTATCTTCCATTTCACTTTTTGGTTTGTTTCTATAGGAATGAATATACTGCCGATATCTCTTCCTACTTCCATGGTGTTTCCTTATTCAGTACACTTTTTACTCTTCAGGTCCATCCATCACGTTGAAATCATCACATTGCAAGCTAGTTCAAGATTTTTTTTTTTTTTTGGAGTGGTCTGATTTTTCTAGCTGTCTTAAAATTCTTAAGAAACTTCCCCAAGTATTCTTCCCCTTGTCAGGAAAATACACTTGCTCAGAGAGAAAGGATGGCATTGAATACTTATATACATTTGAATTCAGAATGCCTCTCTTCCATGACCCCATTTTGTTGGAGTAGCTGAAACTGTTACCGTGCTATGCAAAACTGAACATGCCCTTTGTATGGAAATGGAATTTCATTTACTGTACCAAATCATCAATCTAGATTTTATAATAGCTGACACAGATCCTTTATAAGATGGCATTTATCTTTTATTTAGAGTAAGAACAATATGTACCTATGTTGTTTATATACAGAAGAGACTTTGTAATTTAAAGTATATAGCAGAGTAACTTTTAAATTCTGAATGAATGCAAACATGGTTCAGTTATGAGAGGATGCTTGAAATAATGCTGATACAGACTGACTTGACCAGTCTCCGTCATCCTAAAGGAACCGACTTCTGTTCTTAATGCTTGCATTTTGTTTTGCATAGACGTTCATCAATCATGACTAATGTGAGGGCCAAGCCTCCTGGATACACCTTTCATTTTTGGACCAAATAATTTGTCATGGCAATAAATAATTATGCATTTAAGAGAAAGGGTTTTGTGTTTAACTTAATGCATTCTTAATATGTAAGCAATTATTAGATACTGGGAAATTTCAACTTGTCAAACTAGGGTAAGGGATATAACAGCATGGGTTTTTGTTTTCCTGCCAAATCGAGAAACATTTTGTTACATTCCTATTGCAAAGCTGTTTAAAGACTTACTATAAATACTTTTTGCTGATTTGTTCCTGACATAACGGGTATGATTAGATGGACAGACAAAATTTTTATATTAGTACATGTTAAAAAACAGGCCTGATGATGGTGGTGCATGCCTTCAATCTCAGCACTTGGGAGGCAGAGGCAGGCGGATCTCTGTGAGTTCGAGGCCAGCCTGGTCTACAGAGTGAGTTCCAGGACAGGCTCCAAAGCTACAGAGAGAAGCCCTGTCTCAAAAAGAAAAACAAACAAACAAACAAACAAAAAACCCAGCCAAAACAGATATGAAGTTGGGAATCACTTAAATGTGTATTATAAAATAAAACATTCTTCAGGAGTTTTTAGGTTAAAACTAGGAAATTATTAACCTTGATCAAAGTTAACTGAGTTGCCTTGGAATAGCTGGCCTGGTTCCTTGCTAGCTACTGCAGAACTGGCCCCAGGAAAGATGGCCTCATCCCTCAGCACAGCCTGCACCTCACCTGGGCAGCACACTAGAGCTGACCCTGTGGTCAGGAGACAGGTGAGCCAGCCCCAAGGGCACAACGACAGCAGAGCTGACCCCACTCCTGCTCTCATCTGCCAGGTGGTGACAGTGGGTGAGGGAAAGATGCCCTTCCCCTTGCTACCCTTGGCAGGCAAGAAGGCTGGCCCTGGGATCATCAGAGATCTAGCATTGTCCTTCACTGGCTGCAGCACACCAGAGAGTGGGCTTACACCTCACCAGGGCACACACTAGAGCTGGCTCAGAGGGCATGACAGCTGAAGAGATGACCCTGCACCCCCTCGTCCCCCCGAACTGTCTGCCCATGTGGTGGCATGGGTGAGGGAAAGAACTAGCCTGCCCCTCACCAACTGCACCACACAGGAGAGCAGACCCTCCCTCCAGTCTCCCAGGGCAGTGGTGGCCCCATGGTGTGAGTGTAGGTGAGCGCGGGGTGAGGGGGTTAGCCGAGAGGCAGAGCTAGAGAGGCCACCCAGGTGGTGACAGTGGGGGAAAGCTGGCAGGCTGCCCAGCCCAGCTACCACCCAGGCCCAGAACCAGAGCTGAGTTAGCTCACCCCCTCGTCATCTATGCATGTGAAGGGGACGAATCTACAGATTTAAAACTTTAGGACAATAGGATATCCAAGAGGAGCCCCAATGAGAGCCCAGTGTCCTGGTGTAGCAGGTCAAAGACTGACAGGGAACACTTGCCCGTGAAGAAGAAAGGGCTAAAGGGTTAACTGTGGAATTCAATTGGCCCCATTACCATTTCTATGCTGAGACCCTTTTTTTTTGGTTCATTTATTTATTTATTTTGTTTTGTTTGTTTGCTTTATTCAGTTTTTAGCTTTTCTTTAAAATTTTGTTTTGGGGGGAGGTTGCAAGGGCGGAAGGCGGGTGGGGAAGAGACAGGTGGGATCGGATGCATGATGGGTAATCTGCAAAGAATTAGTAAAAGTTGAAAAAAAAGTTAACTGAGTCAACCAATTCTGGTCTGCTGTGGAGTGTGTGTGAGATGTGTGTGAGGGCTGACCCTGCCTCTCACCTCGTATGCCCCCTAGAGCAGTTGAGTGAGCTGGCCCTGCGCCTTGCCTGGGTAACGGCGGAGCTGGCCCTGTGGTGAGTGTGGGTGAGACGTTGTTGATCTGCATGCACTCACAGCCACACACACATACAATGCTCTTGAAAACAACGGAAAATGTTTATCCTGTGTCAAGAAATAATCAGGTTACAGGAGGGGGACCTGAATTGTTTCAGACAAGGATTTTCTGTTGTCTAGGCACCCAGGAAAGAGACTGTGGTTGATTGATTAATACACTTCTATACAAAGTGTCACAGTATCTTCCAGACTGAATTACTAAACTGTAGTCCTGGGGCCCTAAGCAGCAGGTGCCATCACCACGGACACCCCTGCTACTGTACTCAGATGGTGGAGTTCATTTACCGCCAGAGCCCAAGACATCGGATACTGGCCCTTTACAAGAAGGTTTGCTTTTACAAAAATCTACTTGGTAGACAAAAAGCTTCAAGAATTGAGCTTGTTACAAACAAAAGCCGACAGTTATCTTAAAGGATGAAATATGTGTAGGAAACACTGACAAGTTCTGTTCATTTGGAGTACAACTCACAAGATAAAACCACTGCTTTTACAACAAATATTTACTATTTAACTGTTTTACAGAAAACAAATTTAAATAACATATACTTATTTTTGCTGTTCATCATTTCACAAAGCTGACAAAATACAGGGAACAGTTCTGTGATTAAACAAGAAATTTAACATTAGGAATTTTCCTTAGGCTTCCACTTCCACGGCTGACGAGACCACACAGACTTGCGCAATGTCGTCGTATTCATATGTTCTCTTTAAGAATGTGTCAGTGAGTCTTAGGCCAGAGACACTCTAGAAAAAGAGAGAGAGAGAGGCACTTCAGTTTTCAATCACCGATGATTATTAGAGAAAATACGGCTATTACAAATGATAATTTAGCCCACCCTGTTGATTACCAAAAAGAAAACGTACCTGGAGCCCCTGTACTGAAGACAGGAGAGTCAGGGCCAGGCAGAGTGAGGAGCTTGGATGCAGCTTTCCTAGCTGTCTTCCCGAAATCCCGCACCAGTGGATAGAATTAGTATTGCACATTTCCAGGACCAGGTCCATCGTCCTCTCACTGCTGAGGCAATCAGAGGGCAGGAATAAACCTTGTTTATTTCCTAAGGAGACACCATCACATTCCTTCTACTTTTCAGTAAGTTTACTTTCTGGTTGTCCAGGAGAATAAGAACCAGAGAAAAAATGGAAAAAATGAGCATGTCATTACTTAAGGTAGAATGAGGGAGCCAGGATGATGGAGGGCAGCCTCAGCTACATAGCTAGTGCGAGGCCAGGCTGTAAGGAGGCACTGTCTCAAAAGCAAAACCAACAAAAAGACAGAATAAGGACAATGGGGTCACGGCATCCTCCAGGCTTATAGAAGCCTCACACCAGCTGAGGTGGTTTTCCAGTTGTTATCTATCTATCAATCTATCTATCTATCTATCTATCTACCTACCTACCTACCTACTATCTATCTATCTACTATCTATCTATCTATCTATCTATCTATCTATCTATCTATCTATCTACCTACCTACCTATCTACCTCATGTCTGTGTGTCTGTGCAGGGGTGTGCATGTGGAGGTCAGTGGACAACCTTGCAAGAGTTGGCTTTGTCCCTCGTCCATATGGGTTCTGGGACTCAGACTCAGGTTGACACACACACCTGGCAGCAAATGCCCTAGCCCAGGGAGCTTTCTTACTCCTCAGAGTCTGGAGACAAGGTCTCATGTCCTCTGGACTGCCTTGACACTCTCTTTGTAGCTGAAGATGACGTTGAACTTTTGGTCTCTTCCCTCAATTTCTCCAGTGCTGCTGTTACAAGTGTCACCAGCTAGAGTCAGAAGTTCAAGGTCATCCTCAAGGAGTTCGGTGCCAGCCTGGGTTAGAGACCCTGCCTCAAAACAACAACAACAACAACCAAGTAGTAGTAGTATGTATATAGTAGCTTCATAGACTTAGAGTGTGATCAGGCACTTCTCTAAATTTGAAGAGCATTTCCTAGTTCCTTAGACCTAAGGGAAAGGAAGTATGAAAGTAAAGTGGTTCTACAGCTATAGTAAAGGGTGACTCAACACTGCAATACTATTGCAGTACCCAAACAGATCATGTGAGTACTAGCAAGACGACTTTGCTGGATATAAGTCGTTTATGCTTTAAACTGTCTATTATTTGCTTCTTCTGTTTACTTGCAAAACTGCTTAATGGCTGGGTGTGGTGGTGGATGCCTTCAGTCCCATCACTCCAGGAGACAAAGGCTGGTGGATCTCTATGAATTTGACGTCAGCCTAGTCCATATAGCAGTTCTAGGCAAGCCAAGGCTACACAGTAAGACCCTGTCTCAAAAACAAACAAAAAACTTTAGCCTGTATTCCCATCACTCAGAAAACAAAAAGATTATTATAAGTTCAAAGCCAATCTGGGTTATATAACAAGACTGTCTTAGAAAACACTCCCAAAGAAAATAGGCAACAGACAAAAATCAGAATCATTTTTCCCAACTATAGGTACCTCTTATGTTAAGTTTTGACCCACATTTTTCTTGTTCATATTAAAGATATGGCTCAAGTTTAAGCACCAGAGAAATGAGCTGACTATTGTACATCTATGCCATCCCAGAAGAGCCTGCAGCTCATCTTTCAGCACTATGAAATCTGAAGGAAGGATAAATGTGGCCTTCTCTAGCTCTCTTCCATAGTGTCAGCAATTAATACCCATCACATATTACCATTAATGAATGAAATAAGAACACAGGAAGTAAACACTAGGACTTCAAATATTTATAAACATTATTACCAGTGGTATTCAATATAAGAAGTGACGGGATATTTAAAGGGCACAGAGGTGCACATCTTTAATCCCAGCATTGGGTAGGCAGAAGCAGGCAGATCTCTGAGTCTGAGGCTAGCCCGGTCTTATCCTAGTAAGTTCCAGGATAGCTAGGGTTATACAAGGAGACTGTCTCAAAAACTAAAAAAGGGTAGGGGAGCCGGGCAGTGGTGGCGCACGCCTTTAATCCCAGCACTCGGGAGGCAGAGGCAGGCGGATCTCTGAGTTCGAGACCAGCCTGGTCTACAGAGCTAGTTCCAGGACAGGCTCCAAAGCCACAGAGAAACCCTGTCTTGAAAAACCAAAAATAAATAAATAAATAAATAAAAATAAAAAAAATAAAAAAGGGTAGGGGAATAATTAAAAGATTAGCAAGTACTTTTAGGTGAGGAGACAGGGGGCCCATCCACACACACTGGCATTACCTGCAGTTTGTGATTTTACAGGTAATATGGAAAGGTTCTTCTAGGTTCACGGTATCTGGGATGGCTTCTAAAGATAGCCTAACATCTCCATAACCTGGAGCCTGTGAAAAGAAAGTAACACAGTTAAACTACACCTATTAAAGAAACCTTCTGATGCTAACAAAAGTACTATACCAGCACCTTCCCTCAGCAGGCACAGATCTCTAAGTTGATGCTCTGTGAAATTCTGCAGCCCTGCTCAGGTCTCCCACGCTCACCTCTTTTACTGTGAGCTTGGGTAGAACAACCCTGCAAACCTGGACTGTTTGTGATATAATTACTCCGGGACTCAGTAAAATAAAGATGAATCTTGCCTCTAGATAAGGAATGTGTTAGGACTCAGGGGATCTGATCTCAAAGGTTTGCTGAGTTCCAGACCAGCCAGGGCTACACAGTGATACCCTGTCTCAAAACAATCACAACAAAGGCTAAACAGCAGGCAAGCGCTATAGAGTTCAGGACACTGCCCAGAGCACCTCAATGTAATGGGAGTCAGATGAACAGTGAGCAGGACTTAGGAAAGACAAGAACAGCTGGTAAGCAGCTATCTTAAGTCCTGGTTGGTAAAGTTTAACAACACACACACACACACACACACACACACACACACGCTAAAGAGAAACCAACATCTGACTGAACATTTCCATGAATCTCAACACTAGGTTTCTACCAAGCGATCAAAACACCTATTAGTATTTTCTAGAAATCTGACTTCATGGTGCCCTGCTTTTTAGTGTTAAGCTGTAATACCCATGTGTCCCCTGTGCACCCAACCCCACACTGAAGTGTTTGCTAGACTCACCATTCTTTGAAGCTGGCTGGTCTGTAACCGTCCCCTTTCACCTAGGTTTGTTTTCCACACTATGTCCAATTTTCCAATGACTGTTACGCCTTTAATGATGCCAGCTTTTTCTGCAAATTCCTTCTTGGGCTTTAGGCAGTATAAGTACTGGCGTGTATCCATTGGCTGCAAATATCCTCTGGATCCAAATGTAGATACACTGGCAGGTGTAGAAATAGACAGAAAGAAGTCTGCTAGCATCTTTCTGAAGGAAATCTCACACGGTTAATTCTTTTTTTCTTCTTGGTTCTTTGAGACAGGGTTTCTCTGTGTAACCCTGGCTGTCATGGAACTCACTCTGTAGACCAGGCTGATTTCCTACTCACAGGGATCCACCTCCCAAGTGCTAAAGGTGTGCACCACCATGCCTGGCTCATGTGGTTAATCTTTAGGATACGAATTGGATGATTTACTGCACGGAGATCTAGGAGCAGTCAGAGATTTTAATCCAAATGAAAAGGAATATCTTCCTGAGGAGACAGTGAGTTCAAGGCCATCTTGGGCAACTTAGTAAGACTGACTCAAAATAAAAAAGTAAAAAAGAGGCTTGGGGCTATCTGATGTAGCATATATCTCATATAGCATGTGTGAGGCACTGGGTCAGTCCCCAGGACCACCCTTCCCACAAAAAGATGGGGGGACAGAGAGAAACTAGCTTAGAAACAGAGCAATATATGCTATTCTGTTTCTCTGTGTGGCACCGGGGAGAGAACCCTGGTTGTTGTACATGCTAGGCAAGTGCTAAACCATTTAGCTACACTACCACCCTCGAGATACACCATTCTAATCTAAGTAATTGCTTTCAAAATGAATGAAGGATGGGAAGCTGTTTTCTCAGTGCTAGTAAAGGAGGCTGTCAGCCTTCCTATATCCTAAACCACCACACGAGGTGTTTACTGCTAGGAATTACTAGGAATCATATTCACTGGAAAAGTCAGGCACGCTCCCCAGCTGCTACCTCCTCATCTACATTAATAATACATTTATTTGTTCCTTCTCTTCTGAAATAGCTATAGAAAGACATGGACACTTTCCACACACCAGTTAAAGCCATCTACTCCGACGTGCATGTCTTCTCATACGCCGATAATTTCTTTTCCAAACTCACACTCACCCTATCTTCATTTCCTAATTTCTTCTCCACCTTCCTTCCCATGTTTCAGTTTTATCACTGGCAGAATAATAATGATAGTTTCAGATTTATCTGGGTGAAATGTGAAGGTTAGGGAACAAGTGCAGTTGGGAGGTGGTGCATACCTTTAATCCCAGCACTCAAGAGGAAGAGGCAGGTGGATCTCTGAGTTCAAGACCAGGCTACAGAGCTATGTGAAGAAAACTGTATGGGAAGAGAGAGAGAGAGAGAGAGACAGAGACAGAGAGAGACACACACACAGAGAGAGACAACATGCACTTATGCAAAGAAACTTGTATTGGGAAAAGAGAGAAAGACAGACAGACAGACAGATACACACACACACAGAGGCAGAGAGAACATGCATTTATGGAAAGAAACTTGTATTGGGAAAAGAGGGGGGGGAGAGAGAGAGAGAGAGAGAGAAAGAGAGAACGAGAATAAGTACTTTCAACAGTGCAACACAAGACGGGCAAAGGCGAGGCTGTTTATGTAGAGGGAGACACAAGTAGGTGTACGGAGACCTCATTAGCAATGGCAGACACGCCGTTATGCACTTGTCCAGTTTTACAGTGTGTATGTGTACGACATATACGTGGGCTTCAACTGTGGGATTTTGCTTGTATTAAGAATCAACACTGGTCCACCAATCATAACAAGTGCTACATCAATACAAGATGGGAGAGCTGGGTGCAATGGAGTACGATGCTCTTTGGGAAGCTGTTGCAGAAGGCTAGCTTGAGCTTAACCTGGCAACATGGAGAGAGCTTGGCTCTAAAACACACAAAAAGGCACGTAAGAAAACAGAAACCAAAGGAGAAACTGGCTGCAGAGGACAACCTGTGGGACTTCTACTTTCTCACTGAAGTTATGATGAAACTTCCCTAAAAAATTATGTCCCCCAATTATTTTAAAATAAATCAAAATCTACTAGACTAGGGGACATCAGAAAAGCTTGCATCTTTCCAAATAATAGCAAACATTTCATATTTACCATTCCCCGGCTTGGGTCACCGAATTTAATTCTGTTACATTGTACATTATTGACGGCTCCAGTGACACTTTCTCCATAAACATGGGTGAGGTTGTAATGTTCTGAATTTGAGCTTCGAGAAAGACTTCATCAGTCTAGGGACATGGAGAAACAAATCCACCAAAATGTCATGATATTTAAAGTATTTGCCACAATGAAAATATCTTACTTATATGAAAAAATATTAACCACAAATGTGATTAGTTCATGCCTGCAAATCAAAAGTGTCACAATTAATGCAAGAAAAGAAATCTTCATCCTAACATAATAAACAGGAGCAAAGTGAGGTGTTAGTCAACAGGTACCCTGCCAAACAATGGATGTGGGATAACCGGCTTATAGTTTATATGTTTTATAGAATCTAGAAGCATGCATTTAACTCATACTTCAGTAACAACAACAAAAATCCCAATCTGATAAGATGTTCAAATGTTAGAAGGGACTTCAGTGTGATGGGCACACTCAGTGCTAAGGGCAGAAAATCAGGTCTTCAGTCAAATATTCCAGTACAACGTAACTAGCGTGTAATTACTTCATGTGAGATAGTGACACCAGCGATGAATAATCTATTTTTATACCCTTTAGGGTGTAGATTTTTTTAAAGTAAAGAAATTCATAAGTAGTCTTAGTCACTTCTTGGTTCATTTTATACAGATATTTAAGGTGAAATCATAATATGGGGAGTGGGCTAATGATACTTCAGCTTTTAAACTAGCCACACTGAAATAGTCTATAGACTTTGACAATTTCAAAATGGCATCATTAAGTTCAGTCAGTGCATAACTTCAATATTCAATTTACAAAAACATTGAATTCCCTAGTTACTTCTGCTTAACATTCTTAATTTCATGCCTCTTGGTTCTGGGTCTGTTTTGAGTGACTGAAGAATAAAAAATGTTATGCTAAAGTAATTCAAAAAGTACTCCCCCCCCCAAAGAAGTTTCAGTTATAGAACTCAGAAATTAACTATGCCCTCAAATTGGGGAATTATGAGCTTTTAAAATGCTAAAGTCAGAAAAATGACAATCATGTAAAATATAATGAAGTTATAATTTAATGTGCCTTAGCAGATTCTCTAGCCTTTTAGACATGTGCTCACGTCAAAGCATTAGTACAAGGAATGTTTTTAAAATAATGTACCCCCCCCTTTTGAGACAGAACATCTCTATTAGCTCTGCCTGTCCTGGAACTATGTAGACAAGACAGGTGTGCACCACACCCGGCTAAAGCAATGTGCCATTTAAACTCATAATTTGATTACTTTTTTCCTTTTTCTTTTTTCCCCCTTTGTTTTTTGAGACAGGGTTTCTCTGTATAACATCCATGGCTATCCTGGAACTCACTTTGTAGACCAGGATGGCCTCGAACTCACAGAGACCCATCTGCCTCTGCTTCCTGAGTGCTAGGATCAAAGGCATGTGCTACCATACCCAGCTCAGTGACTTTTCCTTTAAAAAAAAATAAGTGAATATATCCCAAAAATCCATTGCTCTTAAAACAACCCAAGGCCCACATTTCAATTATTAAAATGCAATTCTCTGTATAAAGTAATGAACAGCTTAAAGAAATGAAGAGAAGCAGCATAATGGAAAATCAAGTTAGTGTGAACAGTTAGTACAAAGTCATTGGACATCTGAAAAACGAGAACCAGGATCTAGTGCTCAGGCTGCCAGAGCAGCTCCTACCCATGGACAGCATATGCAAACGCTATGCATTGTAGATAGAGCTGAAACATGAATCCAGCCAGTATGGGAAATTTGCTTTTCTTTTGCCTGCTTTTATCAAAAGGCCAGCTTTACCTGACCCAGATATAAAACCACTGTGCATCTCTTTCAATTGTACATTCTATGTGAGGAATGAAAGGTAATACGGATATTTTACAGCAAAACATTGAAAATCCAAGAATAAAAGATACCGAGATGGTATGTCCCCTCTAAAAAACACCCAAAGAAACTAGAAATTAGAATGGGGCTGCTTCAGTGTGACAATTTAATCTTTAATCTCACAATTTAAAAAGCATGCTCAAATTGTGTATTTTCTTCAGAAGCCACAGATCTAGTATTCACAACTAACTGTTTTTCCACTATGTTTTTAGAGAGATTAATTAGGCAAAGTCAAAAAGGGATGAGAAAAGCATATAAATTTATAATAAAAAATGAAATTACCACAGAACTGAGGTCACTCTAATGGAAAAATAAAAAAGAAAAATTAGAAAATCAGAGTTAAATGTTAAAGAAAAAGAATAACTTTAAAATAAAATGCATCTCTGCATTTTTTTTACTTACTAAAGACAGCATTAGTAAACAAGAAAGTAAACAGGAAGCAACATACAGAAATATGACAAACTACTTTTCTAAAAAGGTGAAATTGCTATGGTTAAATGACAATGGGACAGAGAAGAACATTATGGCTGAATATTTAAAAAAGAACAAATAGGGAAAGACATATTGAGGGCAGAGTTTGCTCACTAACCTGCTTGTACACATTGTTTACCTGTACAGAATTCTCCTGTTGTACACAATATTTACCTGTACCGCCTTCTCCTGGTGTACACAGTTTACCTGTACTGCAGTCTCCTGGTGTACACAATGTTTACCTGTACTGCATTCTCCTGATATATACATTGTTTACCTGTACTGCAGTCTCCTGGTGTACACAATGTTTACCTGTACTGCATTCTCCTGATATATACATTGTTTACCTGTACTGCAGTCTCCTGGTATACACTGTTGAACTGTACTGCATTCTTTTGGTGTGTATTGTTTACCTGTACTGCATTATCCTGTTGTATACATTGTTTACCTGTACTGCAGTCTCCTGGTGTACACAATGTTTACCTGTACTGCAGTCTCCTGGTGTACACAATGTTTACCTACACTGCATTCTCCTGGTGTACACAATGTTTACCTACACTGCATTCTCCTGGTGTATACATTGTTTACCTGTACTGCAGTCTCCTGGTGTACACAATGTTTACCTGTACTGCAGTCTCCTGGTGTACACAATGTTTACCTGTACTGCATTCTCCTGGTGTACACAATGTTTACCTACACTGCATTCTCCTGGTGTACACAATGTTTACCTACACTGCATTCTCCTGATGTACACAATGTTTACCTGTACTGCATTCTCCTGGTGTACACAGTTTACCTGTACTGCATTCTCCTGGTGTACACAGTTTACCTGTACTGCATTCTCCTGGTGTACACAGTTTACCTGTACTGCATTCTCCTGGTGTACACAGTTTACCTGTACTGCATTCTCCTGGTGTACACAGTTTACCTGTACTGCATTCTCCTGGTGTACACAGTTTACCTGTACTGCATTCTCCTGGTGTACACAGTTTACCTGTACTGCATTCTCCTGGTGTACACAGTTTACCTGTACTGCATTCTCCTGGTGTACACAGTTTACCTGTACTGCATTCTCCTGGTGTACACAGTTTACCTGTACTGCATTCTCCTGGTGTACACAGTTTACCTGTACTGCATTCTCCTGGTGTACACAGTTTACCTGTACTGCATTCTCCTGGTGTACACAGTTTACCTGTACTGCATTCTCCTGGTGTACACAGTTTACCTGTACTGCATTCTCCTGGTGTACACAGTTTACCTGTACTGCATTCTCCTGGTGTACACAGTTTACCTGTACTGCATTCTCCTGGTGTACACAGTTTACCTGTACTGCATTCTCCTGGTGTGCATTCTTTACCTGCACTGCTCAGGTGGCTGTATACGCCATCCCACACTGAGAACAGAGCATTATAAAGCTTGTCTTGAATTTACCTATGCTGGAATCTTTCCCTAGAGGAGGATCTTGGGTGATTAAAGTTACCATAAAGTTGTCATAGGTCATACTTCAGAAAAAGTTGGGATAGATCATCCCAGACAATTCAGCTTATTTTCTTCTTATTATATTTCAGTCTATTGTACATTATGTAAATACATATTTAAAAGTAGGCTTAGTAAGTCCAATGTCAAATGACATCTCTTTCGTCAAAGGTATAGCTGGTAATAATTTGTCACTGCTATGTTCCTGAGTTCCTGTCAGTGTTTGGGACACCAGGAGTCACATGTATTGCAGTTATATTATGTTATGCAGTCCCCTCCACCAGAGTAAGTTTCTTGAAGCTAGGGAAGATACCTGCTTATATTATTTTGCTTCCACACCTGACACAAGGCTTTGAACCGAGCAGGTGACCAAGTGTCTGACTCTCAGTTACTGATTTCTGTATCGGCCTGCAAGACTTTCCTAGTTTAGAAAACCACAGCAAAATTTTTCATGAAACCAGTTTTTATTTAGGTGATTCATGTCAAGCATGATCAGAAACAGTATCAAAACATGTTTGACAAATACATGGTACAAGGACCGTAGGAAAGTATTTCATATCATCCATTCACAATGATGTGGTTTACTAACTACTTAAAATAGACAATTTGATTATGCTATTGGCTGAACAGTATTTGTTTGTCTAACTTGTAATTTTGAGAAACTTTGAGACCGTAGAGCTTTATTCCACTGTTTCTTTTTGTTTTCGCACTGTTTTATATTACTCCCACTTCTTATCCTGCTGTTATTTTATGTACCACTCTATATCTTTTTGTTAATTACATGCATTTTTCCCTTTCCTCTAATAGGTATTTACACGTTAGGTTCCTTTACTGTGACAACTAAACAACTATAGCTATAACACACCCTTTATTCTGAGCAACAGCGTGACAGGATTGCAAATTCCTCATCACCACCTGGTGTAAGTAAAAGAAGTAATCTTTACGACAAAATACCGCTGGAGTAATTCTCAATTTATCATACAGATTTTGAGGGGTAAAAGGAATTTTCAGAAAAAGATTCCTCTTTTTTTCACGCCAGGGTCTCTATATGTCTCAGGGTGACCTGTAGCTCACTGTGCAACACAGTTGGCCTAATTCCCTATCCACCTGCTTCAGCATCCCAGCCAAGTGATTACGGGCAAGTGCCACCATTTCTAGGTGACATCTCAATTTCTACAGCTCTGGAGCAAATAAAGAATTTTTTCGCAAAAATCTAAACAACAAAATCCTTTCTATTGGGGTCAGCCCTACTTAATTTTCCTCTGTGCTAAAGAATAAATCACCTCCTACTCTTCAAGTTATGTCTTTCTCAGTTTTGCCCAACGAGGCTCTCCCAGTGGCTTTCAAGCCACTTTGCCGCCCAGCTCTTCTTGGTGCACTGGATGCCCAGGGAGGTCTCGCTGCACTTCTCTTCAGTGGATAGTGAGTCTATGCCCGCCACTTGAGTCGTATAACATCCAAAGTCACTGCAAATACTCAGCAGATTGCTGGTATTTGAAAGAAATACCACCACCATTATGGAGGATTGAGGGCAGTTGTTTAACAAAAAGGGTGATTGTCCCAGAAAACCACGAGAGCGGAAGTCAGGACACGCTGGTTGTAAGTAGGTTGAACCCAGCAGAACAAGGGACACTTTAAGGCAATTCACTTCCTACTGGATTAGCTCCCTCATACCAGCAGTTTACTAAACCTGACAGGAAATGCAGCACCTCTGATTTTAAGTCACGATTTCAATGTTTAATTTGAAATCTTATTAAGTGCCCAACACTTACCTCTGCATTGTAAAATTTGGTTTTCACATCCAATGGTTTGAGGACCTGGTCAAAACAAAGAAAACAGTCAGGAAACTCAGACTCAACAGTGCTTATTTTAAAATATAGGCTTTAGTGACCCAAAGCCATGTCTAATTGTTAAAGATTTTTTTTATTGTATATGCAATATTCCTGTAAAAGAATCAGTAATTTTTCATTTAAATAATTCTTTGGACATTCAATGCTATTTTCAATCATCTTATTTAGGCTTTATATTCATTTTATCTCTTTATATTTTTGTGTTTTGTCTCATCAATAAAACGAGATTTTACTTTGAAACAAAATGCCTCATTTTATTATAAAAACATTACACTGGTGATAACGTTTGAACTTAGTCTGACTTTTGAACCAGTTTATACATGAACTAAGAAGGGAGCTATTTAATTAAAACTTGTTCCCCAGAGAGGGAATAATCACACTCCCAGAAAAACAAAAGGCATTTGAAAACAACTTTATCTCTGCTATATTCAATACCTGAAATTTGAAGAATTTTCTGAAGTACATTTTTTCTCCGCCCTGAGTTGTATAACTCACAGCACACACCAAGCTGAAACAGAAAGACGTCTTAATAGTCTGAAATCATTTTCCTTCTTACTTTTTTTGTTTTGTTTTGTTTTTCAAGACAAGGTTTCTCTGTGTAGCCTTGAGTATCTTAGAACTCTCTTTGTAGACCAGGCTGGCCTCAAATCCACAGAGATCCACCTGCTTCTGCCTCCTAAGTGCTGGGATTTAAAGGTGGGTGCCACTGCTCAGCTTCCACCTCTCACTTCTTAATAAATTTAAAATACTTCAATTCTACTTATAAATGTAAAAAAGATTGTGTCAACAATGCGAAACTGAATCTGAATGAGATTAGAGCAGGGAAAACAACATATATGGATATAGACACATGAACAAGAAAATACTGTCTGAGAAAATGAGATCAGGGGGCCGGAGATGACTGAGTGCTTAAAGGGGCCTCCTGTGCTGGCAGAGGACATGGATTTGACTCTCCACTCACAGGGCTGCTCAGAACAGCCTGCTAAACTCCACTTCCAGGGGATCTACACCCTCTTCTGGCCTCCACTGGCTCCTGCACACACCTGATATACTAACTATATTTACACAGTCTCACACACAGACACATAAAATAAAAAAAGTAAAAAAGAGATAGGTAGCCCTTTTGGAATAGGAACTTCAAATTCTTACTTTGGAAGTAGAATATGTCCAAAAATAATGTCCAGAATAAGCAAGTGACTGAAGGGGAAAAGAGTTCATTTGCACTAGAAAAATATGAATCTTAAAGAAAATCCAGAGGCTTCCAGGCACGGCGCCGACCATGACCCAACAGGGCGTGGCGCTGCAGAACTACAACAACGAGCTGGTCAAGTGCATCGAGGAGCTGTGTCAGAAGCGAGAGGAGCTGTGCCGGCAGATCCAGCAGGAGGAGGATGAAAAGCAGCGGCTGCAGAATGAGGTGAGGCAGCTAACGGAGAAGCTGGCCCGCGTCAACGAGAACCTGGCGCGCAAGATCGCCTCTCGCAACGAGTTTGACCAGACCATCGCTGAGACCGAGGCCGCCTACCTCAAGATCCTGGAGAGCTCCCAGACTCTGCTGAATGTCCTCAAAAGGGAAGCTGGGAACCTGACTAAAGCCACAGCCCCAGACCAGAAGAGTAGTGGAAGCAAGGACAGCTGCCCAGTGCCCGTCTCAGCCGTGGCCTATGGCTGCCCAGTCCCCGACGTGTCTGTCCTAAAGCATCTCTGTTCTTCGTGGCCTCAGATGCCTTCCCACGATCTCAGGTGCCCAGAGGGACAACTTCCGACCTCCACCTGCCTTGGGTGACGAGAAAAGCCCTAGGACAGTCCAATGGGAAAGGAATTCCCAGCTCTGTGTCATGGGGACCCTGAGCTCCTGGTTAGCTCCATGAGGGGCCTCTCTCTGAAGCCCCTGTATTTCCTTGGGCTGCCAGGAAGGTCCTGGTCCTAGTCCAAGTACTGTGGGAGTCCCTCACTTTGTCTCCTCAGCCACTAGGGGCTCAGGCCAGGCATGCTGAGGAAAGATTCTTGGCTCCAGAACTGAAATCTTAGGGTCCATCCCCATGGCCTCTGACGTTTCAATAAAGGTTGTTTTGCAAAAAATAAATAAATAAATAAATAAATAAAATCCAGAGTAGAATTACACGATACTTCGGAGAACCGTGTACAAGTTTTAATCAAAACACTAGGAAAGCTAGCTGCGGTGGAGCACGCCTTTAATCCCCGCACTAAGGAGGAAGCTAGCTGTGGTGGAGCACGCCTTTAATCCCAGCACACCAGAGGCAGAGGTGCAGGCAGGAGAATCTCTGAGTTCCAGGCCAGCCATGGATACATAGTGAGTTTCAACAAAACAAAACCTATTAAAACAATTAAAACGTTAGTATAAAATATTTCTAATAACATGACAAGATGGTTAAATTGTTAGTTTATAAAGAGTTCTTCTAACTCAATCAACAAAGACAAATATGTCACTCCAAATGTGAGGAAAAGAATGCATAGCCAGATTATGAAAATACATAGATGTGTTACAATCCTATAAATAGTCAATACAATGTGAAATGGTCAGTCACACACATAGCCCAGAAGCTAAAATAATGAGACTACATTTCCAGTCTTACAAGGTTTGGCAAGAATTCCTTGGGTTGGTGAGGGTTAGAGAAACATAATTTCTTTATATTGCCAGATGGTGAAAGGAATTTAGAAACAATCTTTTGGTTTAAAGCCTTAAGAATGTTGATGTATTCACACAGAACATCTACTTCAAGACTTGATAGGCAATATAGCTACACATCATTTTGTTGTTTAAAGTAGCAAAAAACTGAAAACATACTGTGACATTGGAGTAAACAAACCACATCGATTAAACACGTAAGAGGCAATCATTCAGAAAATCATGTTTTCAAGGATATTGACTGATATAGAAAAATATTTACAGTAAATGTAAAAGGATAAAAACATGTGTAATACATTATTTATATATTACTATATATTTATATATGCATGAATATACTTATATGTATATCAAATGGCTGAAAAACACATTAATCTTTTAGTAGCTTTACGCAACTTGGTCTAAATAAATATATTATATGCATAGAGATATTTATATGTATATAGGATGACTGAGAAAGAATCTTTTATAGTTCTACACAGCTTGGTAACATTGGGTAATTTAATTTCTTCTTTATACTGGTACCTTGTACTGGTGATAGGCGCTAGAAAGCAAGTTGATCAAAACATAATACCACAGCTGGAGATGGTGGCATATGCCTCTAATACTAGTAGGGGAAGCTGAGGCAGGAGGATCATAAGCTGGAGGGCAGCTTAGCTACATATCAAGTTTAAGAGCAATTTGACTAAATACTGATAACCCCATCTCAACAAAACATAACACCCCTAAACAAGAAAATAAACACATAAGCAAACAAAAACCCATGTACGTGCACACACACACAAATAACAAAACAACAACAACAACAGCAAAACATCCCCCAAACCAGCAATAAAAACCAAACCAAACCAAACTCAAACCCCCCACAACACTTGCCCTGGAAGTGTTCACAGTAGAAACACGATAGCACCTATAGGTTAGGAGACTAGGCGTGGACAGAAATACTACAGTAGCCACGGGTTTTGAGACTAGCTTTGAGTTCTGTGTCTTCTAAAGCAGCTGTTTAGCTCTTTTCCTATGGAACGGTGAATGTACACAACTGATCCAGGAATCTCAGCTTCAATGGCTAGGAACCGCTGTTCTCTGCTACTTTCCTGGGATATATACACTACAAAGATTTCATGTTTTAACCCCATAGTAACTGTAAAGACAAAAGATTAAAAAAAAAAAACCCAACAGGTTGTGGAAGCCGAAGCTATATACAAAGGTGAGCACAGCTTCTTTGAAGAAGTAATGCTTCTTCTGAGAGATGAGAAGTTATACAAAATGCCACAGGCAGTTCTTTGTAAGCAAACACACTTCACACCACAGGGTGAGTGTGGAGTTAAAGAACACCCACATAACCGCAGTGCAGAAGGAGAAGGAAGACTGACACAGGAGGTGGATTAGGTTATAGACAGCTTTGAAAGCATACGTAAAGTCAGAATTTCCAAAAGCCAATGGGAAATCTTTCAAAAGCAAAGTGATTGATAAATGGTGGTTTCAGAAATTTGGCTTCTAGGAAACTTTAATCCAAAGTTCATGTACCTTCAATAGAGCTGTGGAATTCATCTGATCAAATTATACGGGTGCAAATTTATATTTAGTGTTGGTAGTATTATATGTTTTAACAGACACAATGAAGAGAAGGAAAGGGATGATGGAGCAGAGAGAAGAGTAAGAAATACTTTGAAGAGATAATCGGCTTCTGTGAAGTGACTGGCATAGGGGTGCCACTGGAGCTTGTGAAGCCTAAATAATCTCAGAGGGTCAAAATGTTCACTTGTTTTCAGACTGAAAAACAGTATTCAGTTTCAAATACATTCACAGGTCAGGAATGCAAAACTCATACCTTGTCTTCTTTGGTTCTCTATTTGATTGTCAAGATAGGACAGAGTAAATGCTTTTGAGAAGTAGCAAACTTAATCCTTACATGTGTGTTCCAATTTCCTTGACTTCATGGTGTATGACATCATCAATACAACAATCGGGTTTAAGCTCAGCCACGGCAGCATTGGAGGCTGAAAGGTTTAAACGCTGAGAACTTGTCTGAAGATCCGCCTTGAAAGAAAAGGTAAGAAGTATCCACATGAGGTTGCTCAGACATCTCCAGGGTAAGGATGCGCAGGGGTGGAAAGGCCATGAGGACAGCTGGATGGTTATCTGGGAAGAGGACTGGGGAGAGTGGTGGGGGCAGATTTCTGAATTAAAGACCAGCCGGTTCTACAGAGTGAATTCCAGGCCAGCCAAGGCTACATAAAGAAACCCTGTCTCAAAAGACAAAAACCAACCAAACAAAAAGAAAGTCTCTAATGCAGCATTGTCTCCTACCTGGCTACTCTCCAGCCTCTTTACCACTTTAGAATGTCTGTCATTTTAACTCTTAGATAGCAGCCCCCTTTTATGTCAGTTATTGACTATAGGCTTGTATTTCCTTTGTAACATGCATTATAATCTAAAATTACTTTATTTGTGGGTTTTTGTTCTGTTTTCCATACTAGAAATGTCTATAGAGTAGTAACCTCTTGTTTTGTTTACTTCTACGTCACAGTGCCTGGCTGTATTAGTTAGGGTTCTCTAGAGTAACAGAGCTTACAGAATGAATCTCTCTCTCTCTTTCCACACACACCCACACACAAAGGGGATTTATCAGAATGACTTACAGCAGTGATTCTCAACTTTCCTAATACTGCAATCCTATAATACAGTCCCTCATTGTGGTGACCCCAACCATAAAATTTTTGTGGCTACTTCATAACTGTAATTTTGCTACTGTTATAAATCAAAATGTAAATATCTGTGCTTTCAGATGGTCTTAGGCTATCCTTGTAAAAGGGTTGTTTGACCCCTAAAGGGGTCACCACCCACAGGTTGAGAAGCACTGACTCAGAGGCCACAGTGCAGCTAATCTAACTATGGCTGGCTGTGAATGGAGAGCAGCAGTTCACAGCAGGAACCCACTAGTTGCTCAGTTCACAAGGCTGGCTGTCTCAGCTCGGCTTCAGTTATGCTGGAATCTTCAAGAAGTAGGCTCTAATTCCAGTGAAGGAATGGACTTGCGGGCAAGGTGAGGGCAAGCAGGCAAAGAGCAAATACTTCCTTCTTCTAAGTCCTTACACAGACTTCCGGCAGAAGGTGTGGCCCAATTTAAAGGTGAATCGCATTCTTCCTCAGATAAAGTCACCTTTCGATAAGCAGCAACGTTTCTTCACATCTTTTGCCACCCGGAGAAATCTATCCATATTTATATACTTTCCCCCAGAAGTCTTTCTCACCAATTTTCTAATCCAGCTCTTTCGCTAGCCAGCCAATTCATTGGCTAGAGCACATGAATCAGTGAACAGCTGCACATGTGGCCATTTCTCCTTACAAAGAAAATGTTGGCCATGTGTACTGCCCAGAGTTCTGGCAACTGTGAGGACTTCCCTTCACTGGTGTCCCAGCTGTGCTTTTCTGGGTGGTGCCTCCACAGTGTGCTGGACCATCAACAAACCAGACTCTAGTCTTCTCTTCCTCAGTGAAAGGATCATAGGGACACCCCAAGAGGCTATAGTTGCAAGCTTGGCAGCAGATGATCTGTTGGGGGAGGCTGCTCATTTGTTCCTGGCCACCCAGACTCCAGAAATAATCACACAGAAATCTGTATTAATTGCAATTCTGTTTGGCCAATCGCTTAAGCGTATTTCTGGCTAATTCTTAAATTAACCTATTTCTATTAATATGTGTATTACCACGTGGTTGTGGCTTATCGGGTAAAGTTCCACAGAAGAGTGCAAACATGCTGTCTGGTCTTCTCCGTCTCTTTTGTTTAACACGATTATTCCTAGTTCCATTCACTTTCTTGCAAATGACAGAAATTCCTTTTCTTTACTGCAGAACAGATCTCTTGTGTATATATGCCACATTTTCTCTATCCATTCACGCACACAGTGACTTTTTACTTCCTTTATCCAGGCCCTTTCTCTTTTGAATACAGTTCAAGCTCTTAAGAGACTGGACACTCCAGCATTTGATTTCCCAACCACTCTAAGAGTTGTCTAACTGTTCCATTTTCTACAGAGCACCCCCACGGTGATCACCACAGCTTTCCTAACAGAAGCTGACTACTTCTAGTAAAAGCCCAGTGACACTAAAAGGTTTTTTGTTTTGTTTTGTGCTGTGGGATGGTCTTTCTGTATGCTGTGAATATGTGTTGCTCTCATTGGTTGATAAATAAAACTTCCATAAGGCAGGATAGAGTCAGGTGGGAAAACCAAGCAGAGATACAGGAGAAGGGCGGAGTCTGGGAGACACCAGTCAGCTGCTGAGGAGCAAGACGTGTACAAAATGAGGAAACACGCCATGAACCACATGGCAAAGCATAGATAAGAAATATAGACTAATTTAAATGTAAGAGCAAGCTAGTAAGAAGCCAAGCATTTATAAGTAATATGAAGCCTCTGAGTGTTTATTCAGGAACTGGAGGGTAGGAGAGAAACTTCTAATTAGTTTTGTTTTGTTTTTTGGCTAAAATCTTAGCCTGGTTTTCAAGACGCTACACTAAACAGCTTTACCACCTGACATGGCACGTGAGATTTAGTTTTCATCTACAAGAATACACTGTTTCTGTCCCCCCCCACCATCGCGCCCTATACTCTTCCTCTAATCCGACCTGTCTTCCAAGACCCTCTTGTCTTTCTCTCCTCTACTGTCCCTTCTTGCAATGAGGAAGTGACTTCTAGTGTGTTTCCCCCTAAGTCTTCCAAGTACTATTATGTTAATCACACACAAACACTGTAACTATCATTCCACTGAATAGTCATTTTCTTAGCCAAGCCAACAGAAATTTTGAGTAGAAGGAAAATGTTTCTAGGTCCTCCATAATATTTGGCACACATCAGTATTTGCCAATGACTTTTAAAAATCTAGTACTGATAATGCCTTTTAATGAAGTTCCCAAGGCTCAACAGAAATAAAAAAAATCTAAATAAAATGCTTTGTAAATAAGAATGCCACTTACCTTCACCAGTATATCTTTTACAACTTGATTGCTGTCATTATGAACACTGATATAACTGGAAAAGGTCTCTCCCAAAAATATATTCCTATGAAATGAAACAGCATTTTAGCCAGAAATGCATTCAGTCCTCAAGAGAATCATTCTGTTCAAGTAGGAATTCAGGTGGAAGAAAATTTACTGAAGGGTCAAGCAAGTATTTCTTCAGTGTTATTTTCATTGGGCACTTCAAAATGGGAACGTAATTATACTTGATATAATACAGCTGCCAACCGCTACATAAATTACTGGACATCCTGGAAATAATGGTCACTAGAAACAGAGCTGGCCTGTCATAAGATTTATATCTGAAAACACTAGAAAATGTCATTTTCATTTTTTAAATAACTTATGCCCTAAATCTAGATGTTCCAAGTTAATCCATCTTGGAGAACTTTTCCATTATTTTCCTAATAGAATGACTATTGGTTTAACACCGTAAAGTTTTTTGAAAAAAACTTGTATTAACTTCTATGTGTGTAGGTGTTTTCCCTGCAACTATGTGTGTACACCACATGCATGCAGAGCCTGAGCAGACCAGAAGAGTCAGATGTGATAGTTTGAATGTACTTGGTCCTATACTCTCATAGGGAGTGACATTATTAGGAGGAGTGACTTTGTTAGAGTGTGTATGGCTGTGTTGGAGGAAGTGTGTCACTGTGGGGACGGGCTTTGATGTTTCCTATGCTCAGGATGCTGTCCCATGTCACAATTGACTTCTTGTTGCCTACAAGATGTAGGACTCTCAGCTACTTCAACACCTGCATGCCACATGTTCCACCATGATGATAATGGACCGAACCTCTGAACTATAAGTGAGCCATCCCAATTAAATGTTTTCCTTTATATGAGTTGCCATGGTGTCTCTTAACAGCAACAGGAACCCAGATGTCCTGGAATTAGAGTTACAGGCAGTTGTGAACAGCAATATGGATGTTGGGAATCGAACCCAGGTCCTCTGGAGGAACAGTCTGTGCTCTTTTCTTTTCTTTTTGGTTTTTCAAGACAGGGTTTCTCAGGGTAGCCCTGGAACTCACTCTGTAGACCAGGCTGGCCTCAAACTTACAGAGATCTGGCTGCTTCTGCCTCCTGAGAACTGGGACTAAAAGCGTATGCCACCACTGCCTGTTCAGTCTGTGGTCTTAAGGGCTGAGCCACCTCCCCAGCCCCTACTCTATATAATTTTAATAGTTTTACATCAATACATTTCCAAGTTTCCAAGATACTAGTTTATGATCACACCCTGAAAGCTTAGGAAAAACAAAAACACAAAACCCACATCAAACCCCAAAAATTCCTTTTTGTCTCAAATTCTTTCAGTTGTGAATATTTTTAATTTTAAATTCATTGATAATATAGAATAAGAGAAGAAATAAAAAAGTTTAGAGTAGATTAGCTGATAAATCTGATAATATCTATAGAGAGACAGGTGTGAGTGGAATGCGGCCCAGTAAGAGAGCTACTCTGAAAAAGTTAGCAATGCTGGTAAATTCAACTAAAGGTATTAGTTGAATTTGCTGCCAGTTTTTAAGACCTAGGGCTGGGGTACACTGTCAGCGCTGTGGTAGAGCACAGTCACTGCAGGTTAACACCTAGGGCTGAGGTATGTTGGCAGCGCTGTGGTAGAGCACAGTCACTGCAGGTTAACACCTAGGGCTGGGGTATGTTGGCAGCGCTGTGGTAGAGCAGAGTCACTGCAGGTTAAGACCTAGGGCTGGGGTATGTTGGCAGCGCTGTGGTAGAGCAGAGTCACTGCAGGTTAAGACCTAGGGCTGGGGTATGTTGGCAGCGCTGTGGTAGAGCAGAGTCACTGCAGGTTAACACCTAGGGCTGGGGTATGTTGACAGCGCTGTGGTAGAGCAGAGTCACTGCAGGTTAACTCCTAGGGCTGGGGTATGTTGGCAGCGCTGTGGTAGAGCAGAGTCACTGCAGGTTAACACCTAGGGCTGGGGTATGTTGGCAGCGCTGTGGTGGTGCTGGGTAGACAAGACCCACGGCTTTAGTTACAACACAAAGAACAAAGTTAAAATGCTATTATCATTTTAGAACCACTATCATTAAGAGCAGTTTGTATGTGTTTTTCATTTACTGCACAATGGGCACTTTCCTACCCCGCATACAAACATAACAGACAGCTTTTGGGTATTGCTGCACATCTTATGTAAATTGATTATTCTTACCCAAAATTTTGGGGTAAAGTCAACATTTCTCCCAACATTAAAATCTCTGCACCATTTACAGTTGAAGGATCGTCTCTCATTAACTGGTTAAAGAGATCACCTGCAGCAAGAGAAAAACAAAATTCTAACATCTACCTTTAATGCCAGTTTCACTTATGTAAAGAAATGGGGACCAGTGGGCAGCTTGGTGGGAGAGCACTTGCCTAGTATTCACAACGTGACCAGGCAAAATTTTCCTCCATCTTATCTCAGCTGGAGCTATCTTTGATTTAACCTGAAACTGATTTTCCCCTTTTCTACACCCATTATGAAAAGTCCCTGGGAAAGTCCCCAACCCTGTTCTAGAAACTCGGATGAAAAGCTCCAGCTAACTGCATGTTTTTGGATTCTGTTAATCTGCTTGCTGGCTTTATACTTTCCCTTGCAATCACCAAACAGGATGCAGTTTTTCTGTGTTCTCTGCATTTCAAAGCTCCTTGCAGCATGCATGTGAGGCTGCTCTGTGAGAGTGTTTCTCTCCAGGCCTGCTTAAATCAGACTCTCAATTCAGACTTTGGGCTGAGAGGCCTTTGTTTTTCTAAACTGCAGCATTAAAGCCTTGGATTTGATCCCTAGCACCAAGGGCAGGTAGGTGAGGGAGGGTGTCAGATTTCCTTTTAATATGAACAAAAATAGTATTACAATTTTAATTTTTATCTTCTTCAAAACAGATACAACTGGGTGTAGTCACACAAGCCCAAAATTTTAGTACTTAAAAGTGGAGGAGGTTTTGGGATTTAAGGCCAGTCTCAGCTTCATGGTGCTAGGGTAGCTTGGGCTATAAGAATCTCTTTTTCAAAAGAAAAAAACTGAGATATAATATTTATACTTTTCAATACTGTAGCACTGAAATTCAACAGACATTAAGATATAAGACGACATTTCTAAATCTTTACTATCACAAAATTCATCTCAAAAAAAATCTAACCATGTGGTATATGCCTGTAATCACAGTACTTGGTAGGTTGGGACAAAGGAACAAAGCATTCAAGACACTTTGGGATATGCAGTGAGACCCCGTTCCTCAAATAAGACAGAATTAAACAACAACAAAAAATCTGATCTCACAGAGAATAGATGCTTCAAAAACAATGGAAAATGCTGGCCATAAAACATAAATGCCCTTTAGAAACACCAATATTTCTGAACAGAATGCTAATGCATATTTGAGCGCACAGGTAACATTCTCAGAGTGTTAGGATATCAATGTATCTTAAACTAAAACTCTCCTGCTTTCAGAAGATGACATCATCTTAAGCTGTAGGTTACAAATGAGCCCATCTCCCAGATGGCCATCATTCACATGGTACAAATACAGGCAACTTGGAATTCAGCAAATGTTAGTATAAGATTGGCAAGGGTAAGCCTCTTCCAAAATAATGAGGGCAATTCAAGCATCAACCTTTCTTTACATACCAGGCAAGTCTTTCTCTTCACATGTTACAGGAATGTTGGTGAACAAAGTAGGCTTAGTCAATCGCATCACTGTAAATTAGGAAAGACAGAAAATTTGAACTGTTGAGGGTTAACGTTCAAGTCGACTGAACAGCATCCATCAATCTCATGCTGACATAATGTAATTATAATATTAAATATTAGTACTAACACTATACTCCACAAGTATATTAGTATTATTATCTCCATTAGGTAAACAAGGCAGACAATGCCTGCTGGAGGAACTTGGCACATCAAGGATAATATATAATAAAATACAGAGTGGCAGAACCTAAACTAGAACCAGATGGATTCATACTGTTCAGAGTATCCCCCAAACAGTTCTTACTTGTAAACTTGGGGTCACAAGGATGAACTGTCTTATTAAAAATATCCCATTGAAGTCAAGCAGGACTCTCTTCCAAATGTTACCAACCGCTCAAGACATGACATGGAGTTGGTGACTACAGCCTTTACTCTTACTTTTTTTAAAAACTTATTTATTTACTCATTTATTTATTTTCATGTGGGTGACTGGTTAGAAGAGGTCATAAGGTTCTTGGGAACTGAAGTTATGGAAGGCTGTGAGCCACTATAATGGAATCTGGTTCCCACGCAAGAGCAGTCTATAAGTGCTCTTAACTTTTTTTTTTTTTTTGGTTTTTCAAGACAGGGTTTCTCTGTGGCTTTGGAGCCTGTCCTGGAACTAGCTCTGTAGACCAGGCTGGTCTCGAACTCACAGAGATCCACCTGCCTCTGCCTCCTGAGTGCTGGGATTAAAGGCGTGCGCCACCATCGCCCAGCTTGCTCTTAACTTTTGAGCAATCTCTCCAGCCCCCAATCTTACTGTTAACTAGGAAAATAGAAACAAAAACCGTTAAAATCATTAACTATAACCTGCAGATGAATAGGTTCCCTGAGGGAGGTATACAAAAGGTAGCCTTCTGCATTTTAAGAGCTAAAATTCAAAGCCCGTCTTCACTGTTCTGTCATTTAGAGAGGATTTCATGAAGCCTCTATGGGCTCCCATTCTGCACCCTCCAGCCTTAGAGCTCCTGGAACGAGATTACAGGTGTGCACTGCAGCTCTATGTACATCACTGGGCAAGCAGAGTTACATACATAGCCCACACCTTAAACTCTTTTTTATTTATTTATTTTATTTTCTTTTTATTTTTCGAGACGGTTTCTCCGTAGCTTTTGGTTCCTGTCCTGGAACTAGCTCTTCTAGACCAAGCTGGCCTCGAACTCACAGAGATCCGCCTGCCTCTGCCTGGGATTAAAGGCGTGCACCACTACCGCCCGGTTTCCTTAAACTTTTATTGTTCTTGTTTGAAGTTTTGAGACGTCGTCTCACATTTTAGCCTGAGATGACCTAGAATGTGCCTAAAGCTCAGGCTAGCCTTGAACTCTAGATTCTCCTGCCTCAGTCGTCCAAGTGCTAGCACAGGTCAGCACACCCAGTTCATTCCATGCGTGTTTGAGATGATGTGTCACTAGTAGCTCAGGCTGTCCTGAAACTCAGAGATTCATCTGCCTCTACCTCCCCAGTGCTAGGATTAAAGAAGTGTACTATGCCTGTCTCTCCTTGAGCTTTAAAACAAACTGGGTTTCAATGTACTTTTCTATAGAAGAGGACAAAATAAAACGTGCCAGTACCAAATGTATGTTTACAACCATCTCATGCCTTATAATAAATCAATGGATCTCAAAAACTGAAGATGCTAGGTACAAAAGAGCAAGCCATATCTAAAAAAGCAAGGTTTAAGAAACTGACAGTGGGCTAGGAAAATAGTTCATTTGGTAAAGTGTTTGTGCAAGCATCAGGACCTGAGTTAGAACCCAGAAACCATGTGTAAAAAGTTGGGTGTGGGGCTGGAGAGATGGCTCAGTGGTTAAGAGCATTGCCTGCTCTTTCAAAGGTCCTGAGTTCAATTCCCAGCAACCACATGGTGGCTCACAACCATCTGTAAAGAAGTCTGGTGCCCTCTTCTGGCCTTCAGGCATACACACAGAATATTGTATACATAATAAATAATTATTAAAAAAATACCTGCTTAAAAAAAAAGTTGGGTGTGGTGGTGACATGTGGTGGTGCACAGCCTACTTTGACAAGGGAGAGAGAGAGAGAAAGAGAGAGAGAGAGAGAGAGAGAGAGAGAGAGAGAGAGAGACCCTATCTCCATAAAAGCAAAGCAAACAAAACAACAACCCAAGGAGGTGTTGGAGGTGCCTAGACTCCTCTGGCCTCTTCATGTGCACACAGACAAGAAACACTAACAGAGCAACTAAAGGGAGCACTAGTTATTGGATAGTAATTTTATACCCATGTTTGAATGTTAAAGTAAGTTATTGGTCAAAAATATCCATTTTAGTCTTTATAAAAAAAGACACAGGTGAGCTTTAGTTGGGAATCAAATATTCAGCGGGTCACATCAGATAGTATTGCCGTCTAGAGAGGAAACGTCAAAACACACCCTTCACCACAAATCTTAGCTGAGGCAGAGGTCTTGAACTAGTGAACTGGGCCTAGTGCAATTTGCATATCCATTTTGGTTGGCCAACATTATTGAAACTAGGTAGATTCCCCTTCAGATTCAATGTCTTTTCTGCATTTTACAGCCTCGCCTGTTTGGCTCTCAGAGGCATCCAAGACTGTAAACCCCAGATTAATTTGCCCTATTTTGTGAAGATTAAGTAAATCATTAACTGAGAACTCATTTTGAAAAAAAAAAAAACACATCTGTTATTTGTTAAGTTGGGAAATGAAGTTAGGTTTGTCTAAGACCACGTCAAAGTTAAAGCAAACAAATAAAAGCTTACAATTGGATGCCTCTGGAACCTTTCACTCTGATTTATTTATTTATTTATTTTCGGATTTTCGAGACAGGGTTTCTCAGTAGCTTTTGGTTCCTGTCCTGGAACTAGCTCTTGTAGACCAGGCTGGCCTTGAACTCACAAAGATCCGCCTCTGCCTCCGGAGTGCTGGGATTAAAGGCATGCGCCACCAACGCCCAGCTAAATTATTTTTAACATCTTCTTAAAGGCAGGTAGCTAATTAGGAAAAAAAAATATGATATGGCTGCCTCTTTCCTAGAGTGCTGACTGCATTTTTTCAAATACTCTCACTGATTTATCTTTCCATATGTATCTTTGTTTCCCTAGTATATTCTACATGTGACTAAGCAGTGGAATTTTGAAACAGTGGAATTACTTGCATATAGTATAGACATCGAATCAGAAGCAGAATCTCACTAGTCTCATAATTCTGGCCAAGCAAAATAAATATGCAATTGCACTTGGCCCAGTTCACTAGTTCATGACTTTGGCCTTTATGATTCCAGCTAATGGCAGATCACCTAGCCCCAGGGATCCACATATGGCACTAAGGTCAATTCCTAGAAGACCAGCCGGGGAGAGTGGTGGGCAAAAGCACACCAAACTTGATGACGTCAGCTCAAGTCCCAGGACCTACATGGTAAAAGGAGAAACCCAATCAATCCCTGCAAGCTGTCCTCTGACGTCAATATATGTACTGTGGTGTGTGCATTAACAAGCAAACGTGCAATAAATAAATGTAACTTAAAAATAAAATAAAAGCCTTCTAGATTATAACAGTGGGTCTAAGTTCTCATGCCTTGACAACCTCTTAAGACTCATCTAGATAGATGGGAAATACTTTTCTCCTTTGGATCACTATGCTATTTGAAGGAAAAAAAAAATCTATCTCTCAGTTTTTACTTTCATTGTTTTTCAGAGAAGTAGAAAGCAATTCATCCAGAGTAAGTCAGAAAAATTCAGATCTTCAGCATATGAAAACAAAGAAGCTCTTTTTAGCTCTTGGAATTAAAAACTGTTAATAGCCTCATTGTAACTTACATTTTTAGTTCTGTTATAAATACTTTAAAATAACAAAACTATCCAACTTTTAACCCTTAATTGGAAACCTTGTAATAAATTCTGAAAAATATAAAATCAGACATACTGTTTTAAGACTTAATCTTACACACACCCTGCATTATACTTAGGTGAGTTAAAAAAAAGCAAGAGACTTTAAGGATTCATTAAAATTCAATCCATTCATTTAAAATCAACCACTGGTGATAAAGATTAGAACACTTACTTTTAATTTTAGTACAGACAATAATTCATCACAGTTCACTTAAAAAAACACTAATGAACAGAATCTAGAATGTTTCTGACTTGATTGACAAGCCTTGGAATCATGTGACATTTATTTATATATTGAACAAAAACTGTCTACATATCAGACAACTATTTCTTCACATTATAAAGGAGCATGAAATTTTCAAAGTCACTAAAATTGCAGTGACAGTAAAAATAATTCATTTTATAATGTCAGTCCATATTCATTTCATTCAGAATATTTTTCTGATAACCAGAATTCATTACATACTAAAAATAACACCATATTTACGTACAAATAAATTAATCTTTCCAATAAGAGATAATCTTTCTTTAAGAAGGCCTCCTACATATTCGCAGTACATAATATCACAGAACACCCATATCTGGCCTAACTGTCTCTGGATGGTGGCATTACACGAGGGAAGTTCATTGTGCCGGATGAGGCGAGTGAGTTCTGTCCAAATGTCTTCCAGAGTCTGCTTGTTACAAACACTGTATTCTAATGTCCATCTTGCTCTATGAAGGGAGTGCAATTGCAATGTCTTTAAACTATTTCGCAGTTTCTTAGACAAAGGAAAACTCTTTTCTGGACAGTGTTTGCTGGCAAGTGAAACGCTCCAGGATCTCTTCTGGTGCCGCTTCCCGTTTCCTGAATTGCTACCTGGAGTTCCAGAATTAGTCTGCTCATGCAGCGCGCGTGACTGGAGCAGGTGCTGCGTTTCCACACTAGGATGGAACTCCAGAAGATCTACTGTGCAATCGTAGCTCTGAGATTTAACACTAGGTTCTGAAATGGCTAAGTACTGTTTTACACTCTCAGCAGCCTCTCTAGAAATGACTGGTGGTAGTCTTTTAGGCTTGAGCGGCAGTTTGGACCCATCTTGTGGAAACCAAGGAATAAATCTTGATAGCGGGTGGGTTGGAAAGTCTTGAATTGCCTTTTCTGCAATTTTTGCCAGTTGTGTGGGATCTTTTTCATATGGCCGATAATGTAGTATCACTTCCGTGGTCATTCTGCAGTAATCCATTAACTCTTAATGAAGAGGAAATTCCTTAGCCGAATTCTTCAGAGCTAGAATGTAATTTATTATTTATAAGACTGTCTTTCGGGTCAAATCAGAAGAAACAGGACCTAAAGTGGAAGTATTGCAAAGAATAAGATTTGGCAGGGACAGGAGGCAGGGAGGAGAAACCAAAATCCATTCCCCGTATGGTGTTTGTTAACAAAGTGCTATGGCAAATGTGAATATAATCACAATACTTGAAAACCCTTCTCACAACATTAAAGTGTCTGAATTAGATTCCAACGAAGATTATATCTAGCCTGAAAATACTGATAGTTAATATGTTTAACTAAGTAGATATAAAGGATTTTGAAATACTGTCATTAAAATGTTGATAATCATTGTCCCCAAACCATAAGAGGAACAAAAATTTGGTGATTCTTACCACATAATGTTATATTTAAAGTTGTGTGTGTGTGGTGGGGTGCTGGAGAGATGACTCAGTGGTTAAGAACACTAGCCGCTCTTCCATAGGACTCAGGTTCAATTCCCAGCACCCACATGATGGCGCATGACCATCTATAACTCCAGCTCGAGTATTTGACACCCTCCTCTGGCCTCCTTGGGCACTAAACAGACATGGTGCACAGACACAGATACATGTACAGACAAACATGTAGGAAAATATTCATATAAAGTCTTCTAAAAAACATTGTTTTTAAAAAAGAAAACTGTGACTTCAAAATTAAGAAAACTGAAATTACTACTTTATTTTTTTAAAAAAAAATTGTTTTGTTTTAGTTTGTTTGAGAAAGGGTTTCAAGAACTCTGGCTATCCTGAAACTTACCACCTAGACCAAGATCCACTTGCTTCTGCTCCCCTCTGCTGGGATTAAAAACATGCAACATCCTGCCCAGTTCAAAATTAGTAGCTTAAAAAAATGTATATAGGATAAAACTGATATCATTATACTCTAAAATTTTATAAATCCTACCAACACAAAGGTAGAATATTTACTCTCTTTCTCTATAATAAACATCGAAAACATGAAAATGGATTAACTTTGCAGGTCAATCCAGATAGGAAATGGAGGTATGACGAAGTTTTCCTGGTATAAAGGTGGTATCTCAGTAGCACTCAGGTGAGGTTTATGACTCCCGAAGCCAATGTATGGCTTCCTCACCGATGCCAAGGAAGGAGAACACAACACAGAAGTTCTCATGATGTCTGAAATTAAAGCAGCGACAGGAAGTTCCAGCAAAGAAGGCCTCGAGAATGGAGCCGGCCAGGATCTATCTGATCTACAAGTTGGGCTTAGTAAGGGGTCCAAAGCTGAGTATAATAGAGGCTCTTCTACACACACACACACACACACACAATCTTACATGAGAGAAGTAACCGATGCAGGCTCTTACACAGCCAGGGTAAGGGTAACTATGCCTCACATTCTTTTTTTTTTTTTTTTTTTTCGAGACAGGGTTTCTCTGTAGCTTTGGTGCCTGTCCCGGAACTAGCTCTTGTAGACCAGGCTGGCCTCGAACTCCCAGAGATCCGCCTGCCTCTGCCTCCCACGTGCTGGGATTAAAGGCGTGCGCCACCACCGCCCAGCCCCACATTCTTTAAGTAACTGATAATCATCACTTCTTGGCTTTTTTCGGCCACGATTAAGGATGATGGTGGCGCACGCCTTTAATCCCAGCACTCGGGAGGCAGAGGCAGGCGGATCTCTGTGAGTTCGAGACCAGCCTGGTCTACAGAGCTAGTTCCAGGACAGGCTCCAAAGCCACAGAGAAACCCTGTCTCGAAAAACCAAAAAAAAAAAAAAAGAAAAAAAAAGGATGAAGAATTAATGAGTTTATCTTTTTCTTCTTCCTTCTTTATATCTTTCATGGTAAGGTAGGGTATTGAGAATTCTTTTATTGTTGTCTGAACTTATTCAGTGAAACACACAAGAGACAGCAAATTTTGAGAGCTCTTTTTAGGTGAATCGCATTGCATTTTCATTCCAAGAATAACAAAGGGACTGGGGATGTAGTCACCCAGTGGAGTGCTTGCCTAACATGCACAAGGCCTGTGTTTCAATCCCAGCACCCCATAAAATGGAGTATATTGTACACATCTGGAATCTAGCATATGGGAGGTGGAGGCAGGAGGACCAGGAATGTAAGGTCATCCTCATTGACATTGTGAGTTGGAGGTCAACCTGTAACAGCTGTGACCCTGTCTCAAAATAGAGACAAGTGACGGCGAGAGTGAGAGAAGAGAGAGGGCTGAAGACACAAAGAGCAAAAAGGTATTATCCTAACATTTAACACAGAAGAGAACAAAGTTAAATGGCAGTTTAAACGGTATGCTTGAACAGTCAATATCAGTAAAACTAAACCCCGTGAAATTCTTTATTATCTAGCACAATGCAGACAAAACAGTATCAATGAGGTTTAGTATAAAGTTGATGTCCTGTTTGTCTGATTAAGTATTGTTTACTAGGCATTTTGTGTTTCTAAAAACAAAGAATAATAACAAATAAAACTCCCTATCTGTAGCACGAATAATAAAAACCCAGACATAGATATTGGGATTCAAACCGAAACCAGAAAAGCAATGCAGTCAAGTTACTAGAAGTCCTGACCTCTACCAAGGCTGGGTGAGCGCAGACCAAGCCTCTCTCCTCCCCTTTCTTACCTCTACCAAGGCTGGGTGAGCGAAGACCAAGCCTCTCTCCTCCCCTTTTCTATTCCCTCTAGTGTGGGCATTAAAGGGGTGTGACTCCCTAATACTGGGATTAAAGATGTGAGGCACCACCACCTGGAGATTGTGCACTGATCTTGTGTAGCCCAGGCTGGCCTTTAACTCACAGAGATCTATTTGCCTCTGCCTCCCAAATCCTAGGATTAAAGGTGTGCTACCACTGCCTAACCTCTAGTGGCTTAGCTTTGCCCTTCAGGTAGTCAAGCCTTATTTATTAAAACATAACCTGTCACTGGAGTTTTTAGTAGTGTCAAAATTGTGTGAAATCATACTTAACACCTAATATGACCGTTAATAGTGTCAGTTGCCAGGCAGTAGTGGCACACGCCTTTAATCCCAGCACTCTGTGAGTTCAAGGCCAGCCTGGTCTAAAGCTAGTTCGAGGACAGGCACCAAAGCTACAGAGAAATCTTGTCTTGAAAAACAAACAAACAAATAAACAAAAAACCCAAACAAACAAACAAACAAAAAAAGAATTGTGTCAGAGTTGGGTGAAATCACACTTAGCATCTAATATAACTGTTTTAAATTCATATAGAAGTCATCAGGCAACAGAGTATCTTAGAAATATGAAGCAGGCCTTTTCGAATTATTGCCTCGATCTCTTATTAGATATGTTTTCTTGGGAAAGTTGCTAGACCTTAAAAGATAAGTAATATCTAGTTGACACACTAGATATAAGATTGAGATAGTGAATATACAGTAAGATCCTTTTATACACATTTAATCTATTTAATCTAGATCATGTGGAAACCTACATGTCTCTTTGCTCTATTACCCAATGTTGCAATCTTTCTCAGTTCCACATTCAGAGGCAGTCCTGTTCACTGCAGCTATCGCCACATGATTGTGAGCTTCTAGAATGTAAGATGTGCAGATCACAGAGAAAGGGGGAGGACATGCAGTATACCAAAAGGGATGCCTTAAGGAAGGCGAGTGTAATTCAGTCTAGTTCAAATATCTTGTAAGGCACAGTTAACCTCATAACCATATATTCCAAAAGCAAGAAAGTGCAGTTGTGGTAGCAGAAAACAGAAAATAAAGTTGATAATATTTAAATAAAAGGTTTTCGATAACCAAATTTAAGGAATTCTGCCCTGCCAGCTTTTTTCTGTTCAAATTAAATCATTAAAATTACTCAAAACTGCCGCGTACAGAAAACTAAAGTTCATAAGAGAATCTGGATAAATTTCCCACAAATATGATACTACAGTGTGATGTAATTTGTAGTATATTCCAACAAATCTCAGCGGTATTAGATATAAATCCTTGGCATTATCACGCGATATTACTTACAGATAAGCGAAAACCCGGTAACTTTGTCCTGTCACATGAACGGATCAAAGAGTAATAAAAAATTGCTTTAAACGCCAGCTGAAATTTACTCTGGTTCACAGAGATCTCCCCAGCAAGGTCGAGGCATGAGCTTTTGGGGATAAAATCTGGTGTCTACGGTAGCACAGACCACAGTGGAATTTAGGATTGCATTTCAATCTAGAAGGCGTCCCTCAATACCTAGCAAGAGAAGAGCCCTTTCGTGTTTAATGATAAGGCTTACGTAGGAAATCTTTCAAATACTGAAGAGAGGGAAGGGGGGGGGGGTAAGAGGAAAAAAAAGAGTAAAGAGACTCAGGCTCATAACAGTTTACCTTTTAGAGCCAGCAGGTGCTCCTGTTTGGGAGGATTCACTTCCATCTTGACAGGCACTTCTGATCAGTGGCTCACCCGTGGGTCGGAAGGAAACTGGAAAGCACAAGTCCCGGAAGACCCGGCGTCAAAAGCACGCCCAACTTCTTTCTGCTCGTAATAAATTTTCTTTGCATTAAATCCGTTTCGGCCCCAGTGAAAATCTCTTTACGAAGACCATTCCTTCGCTCAGAATTACACAGGCTGACTTCAAAGAGCCACTTTTAGCTGACAATATACGGGCTTCCAAAACCGCGGGGTGGGGGTGGGGGAATACTCGAGTGGCATGCTGGGATTTGTAGTCTATTTTATTCAAATTTGGCAGAGTCGGGGGCGGGGATTAGCTGATTCCTTCAGTCTGACTCGTTTCAGTTCTGGGAGAAAAAAATCATTACAGGAGCGGCACTTTCACCCTAAAATTTTATGAATGCCCTATCCGTTCTTTTTATTTTCTCTCTTCCCTCCATTTTTCGCAGGCATCTTCATGAAAAACAAAGCGTCCACGCGCAAGCCGTACAGCCAATGACTGAGAAAAGAGGACAGGCCGGAGGAGGCGGAGCTGCGCCACGCCTGTATTGCGCACGCGTGCCGGCGGCTCGCGCTGAGGCTTCTGGGTAGGTCGCTCAACCCCGCCTCTCAGTTAAAGGCTCTGCTGCTGCTGTGGCGCTGCTCCTTCCAGGATGGCTGCCCTAGCTGTAAACAAACCCGGAGCCGGAGTAGACAGTGGGCGGCAGGGCAGCCGGGGGACGGCGGTAGTGAAGGTGAGGGAACTCGCGTGCTCCGTTCTCCACCTGCGGCCTCTCTTCGCTTCGCCCTGGAGACCTGGTGGCGACTGTCCGGCCCAGGCTTGGCCGGGCGGGATGCGCGGCCTCTGGAACCCGACCCCGGTGGGCGTTACAAGCCCTACCTGCCCCGCCGCGGCCCTTGCCCCGCTGGCCTGAAGTTGCATGGTCTTCTAGCTCAGGTGTCCACGTCGTCCGTGGGGCTGTCTGTGAAAAGCACCGCGTGGGCCTGTGGAAGTTGACCTGGCTTGGTCTTTCCCCTGCTCTTCTGTTTTCTAGTGAAACCTCCGCAGGCTCGAGTTGGCGGAGATACATTAATCAGCCTTTACAGTAGACAAGTTTCTATGGTCGGTGTTTCAGCTTGCTATTATCGACCCGAAAGGTAGACGTTAATTCGCATTTTACATGGAAGGAACCCTAGGCTTAGGTTAATACAGCAAGTGGTGAGGGCCCAGCGTTTGCTAGTTGTCTGTAAAAGTCTGCTTTTCAACATTGCTTTGTTGCTATAATCATTCACGTACTTTGTGTTGTTTTTTGAGAGAGAGTTTCTCAGTAACTGTGCAGCCAGCCCTGGAACTCACTCTGTAGACCAGGCTGGCTTCGAACTCACCGAGATCCGCCTGCCTCAACCTCCGGAGTGCTAGGATTAAAGGCGTGCCCACCCCCGCTGGGTTACACTTATATTTTTGAGACGCCCTTTGCCTTTGAATAGAACAGTGTGAAAACCTGCGAAAAGTCTCCAACCGCAGCATAGTTGGGGTTTGACAGTAGCTTGGAAGATTCTGCCATATACTTACAAAATGCCTTTACTAAAGTACTTTTTACTTTAGAAGGACTTAGTATTTAGTACTTTTTTCTTTAGAAGAAGGACGTGAAGCTCGTTTTCCCATCTGCTGTAACGTAGATCTGAAAAGAGTGAGTAGCTCAGGGAGTAACTTTGAAGATGATCTGTAACCGTTCTGAGTGTGCTGACATCAGTGCAGTTTTTAAATTCCCTGAAGTGATTTTAATGTACACTTGAATTGATAACAGTGAACCAAGTCCAGTTGCACATTCTTTTAACTATTAAATGGTAGCTATCTTTTTTTAAAGACAGGTCTTTTTTTTTGAGAAATTTATGCTAATAATTTATTAGTGATCTTTTTTATTGGTTGTTGATTCAGTTAACTTTGTATATTGAATTGAATTCAAATTACTATGATGGATATAAAGATCTGAAATGTAGAGGAGTCCTCATTATTAGACATATTTTATTTTGAGATATAATCATTTGAACTATGCTTTTGCCAAATGGAGAATACCAGAATATTTTGTGCATTTAAAGTTTTTTCCATGATTGCAATAAATATCGTGCCATCTATTCTCCTGAGCACGTTCTTTTCACCCTACTCATACAGTGTTCTGTGTATATACGTAAGAACTTTAATGGTCTGCAGTTATAGCGTGAATGCACTATAATTTACCTTTCAATTTAGTATTTTTATATATATATATGTTTACTTTGTTTTCATTTCTTTAATGATATAAATGGTGATTTAAGGAGTATCACCTTGATCTTGTCACATGTGGGCTGGGGATTTGCCTGACTGTGCAGAAGTCTGAGATCCCTGGCAGTAGAGACAACAATCTCACCAAGGGTGAAGGTAGTTCAGAGCAGAGTCCTTAAACTGCTGAATTGCTTCCATGGATGCTGTGGTTACTCAGTAACTTTTTTCCTATCAGTTAGTGAAATTGTTTTCCTGCATTTCCTCCAACTGCTTGCATTTCATTAATACAAAACATTAACAACTTTTTTGATAAAGTTTCTTGGTGTAGTTTTTCTTTGCACTTTAATGAGTTAGATTGAACTCTTAATATTTAGTTCTTTATTTAGCTTAATATAATTTATTTCCTTTTTTCTGAAACTATATTTGTTTCTTTTGAACTATACCAGTATTCAAGGCAAATAAGAATTACCAGTTTAATTACAGTAAAAGATAATTTGCATCTCAATTTTTTTAAAATATTTATTTATTATGTATACAACATTCTGTCTGTGTGTATGCCTGCAGGCCAGAAGAGGGCACCAGACCCCACTACAGATGGTTGTGAGTCACCATGTGGTTGCTGGGAATTGAACTCAGGACCTTTGGAAGAGCAGGCAATGCTCTTAACCTCTGAGCCATCTCTCCAGCCCCCTGCATCTCTATTTTTAAAAAGATTTATTTATTTGTGTGTAATAAATACATAGTATAAGGGTGTTTTGTCTGCATGTACATCTGCACACCAGAAGAGAGCATCGGATCCTAAGGGACTATGGTTACAGGTGGTTGAGAGCCACCATTAGATGCTGGGAATTGAACTTAGGACCTCTAGAAGAGCAGCCAGTGCTCTTAACCACTAAGCCATCTCTCCAATCCTGCATCTCAATTTTTCAGTCTAAATGTATTGGAGAATCAAGTTTAAAATTGTAAAGTGTCTAATGAGATTTCTACTCTTAACTTTTCTATTTTTAATTTGTCTTATGTGTGCTTGGTGGTGGACTGAATTACTTAAAAATTTTTTTTATTACATTAGATTTTATTTACCTAAGCACTTAGGTGCTTGCTATTTGGTGCGTACTGTTCTGTGCTCTTGTTCTAAGAGGGAAAGACAGGTTAGTCAGTGAAAGTATTGAAGTCTTTGAGTCAGACAGGTGGGTAGATATTCAGAGTCCGAGGATAATGTAGTTGTTTCAATTAGAGTGATAGGAGGGTAGACCAAGGTTAATGAAAAGAAAAACTTTAAAAAGATAACCAGAAGGCAAATGTTTAGTTGTTCCCTCAGCATTAATTAGAATAAAGCAAGAGTCAAGAAACACTGACCTGTCTGGGGACACACTTGGACCTTAGGGCTCTGCAGGGTATGGCAGGGAAGTAAGAGTACAGGACCAGACTAGTGTCCTGATTGGTAGACAATGGAATAATTAATTCATTGTGAATATTTTAAAAAAGTAATTAAAATGAAAACAACACAATAGTTAGTGTAAAAGCACTGAAAATATTATGATAATTACAGTTTATGATTGTTTATAAAATCCTAACCAAGGACCTGAGAGTCAGAGTGAGCCAAGTCTCACAGGTTTTTTTTTTTTTTTGACTGCTTTTTGGTAAGTTGTATACCTGTACTTATAACTAGATAGATAAATATTTTCCCAGTAAGAGCTACTTATTAATAAAGAATTAATAAAGAAATTGAAATTTAATTTTCAGCTAATTTGGGTTTTGCATTATTTTGTGAAGTCTAGAAGATACTTAACTATTTCTTGGAGACTTTCCTGTAAGTTCTTTATAGTTTAGAAAATTGTCACCCCAATACATGGTTTAGATGTTGTTTTTGTTTTTTTGTTTTTAAATTAGTGGTGTATTAGCTGAACATAGTGGTACATCCTGTAATCCTAGCATTTGGGAGGCAGAGGCAGGAGGATCATTGTATTTTTGAGGCCATCTTGGACTGAGTTCCATCCAGGGCTGTTCAGTGAAATGTCATCTTTCTTTGAAATAAAACAGGGTTTAGAGAGATGACTAATCAATTGAGGACACTGACTGCTCTTTTGGAGGATCCAGAATTAATTCTTAGCACCAACATGATGGATCACAACCATCTGTAACTGGTTCCAAAGAATCCGATACTCTCTTCTAACTTCTGTGGGCACTGCTCCAATATGGTGCACGGACAGACTTGCAGGCAAATTTTTGTGTGTGTGTGTGCTTTGACAAATAAAGCTTGCCTAAAGAACAGAGTGCAGAGGCCAGGCATTGGTGACACACACCTTCAATCCCAGGACTCAGGAGACAGAGGCAGACTGAGTTCAAGTCCACCCTGGGCTATTCGAAATTCATCTAGTCTATATGAGAAACAGAGCTCTCACCAAGGTGGTCTCAGCACATGGGATTCCATGCCTTCAATCTCAGCACTAGGGAGGTGGAGACAGGAGTGATATGGTTGGTCAGAGATCTTTAACTTCCTAATATCTGACTCCAGGTTTTACTTATTAAGATAAGTTAGAATTCCTGCTACATCCATGCACGAACATACATCTCAAAACATTTTTTAAAAAAGGAAAGAAAAGCAAAATGAAATGATTGTTGATTGAGGATGTCAATAGAACTACAAATTGTTACTATTCAGTTTTCAGAAGATTAGATTATGTTAATTATGTTAATTTGCAACATAAGAGTGTTTCAAAAAGGTTTCACTTTGGCAATTTTTCTCTAATGGAAATGAATAAAATGTGAACTAAGGTTTTATAACTTAGTTTTTTTTTTTCCCATGGAGGAATAAAGTAACAAAGTTGATTCA